TACTACTGTAACTGCTACTACTACCACTACTGCTAACTACTACTACTGTAACTACTACCTACTACTACTGTAACTACTACTCACTGCTGCTGTACTGCTACTGTAACTACACTGTACTACTAATTACTACTACTGTAACTACTACTACTACTGTAACTACTGTAACTACTACTCTACTACCAACTACTACTACTACTACTACTGTAACTACTACTACTACTGTAACTACTACTACTACTACTGTAACTACTACTACTACTACTACTTTACTGCTGTAACTACTACTACTACTGTACTACTACTACTGCTATACTACTACTGTAACTACTACTACTACTGTAACTACTACTACTACTACTAATGTAACTACTACTACTACTGTAACTACTACTACTACTACTACTACTGTAACTACTACTACTACTGTAACTACTACTACTACTGTAACTACTACTACTGTAACTACTACTGCTACTACTACTACTGTAACTACTACTACTACTACTACTGTAACTACTACTACTACTAACTACTGTAACTACTACTACTACTACTGTAACTACTACTACTACTACTACTGTAACTACTACTACTGTACTGTAACTACTACTACTGTAACTACTACTACTACTACTACTGTTACTACTACTACTACTGTAACTACTACTACTGCTACTACTACTGTAACTACTACTACTACTACTGTAACTACTACTACTACTACTACTAACTACTACTACTGCTGCTACTGTAACTACTACTACTGCTACTACTGTAACTACTACTACTACTGTAACTACTACTACTGTAACTACTACTACTGCTACTACTGTAACTACTACTACTGATACTGTAACTACTACTACTACTGTAACTATTACTACTGCTACTACTACTGTAATTACTACTACTGTAACTACTACTACTACTACTACTGCAACTACTACTACTGTAACTACTACTCCTGCTACTACTACTGTAACTACTACTACTACTGTATCTACTACTACTATTACTGTAACTACTACTGTTACTACTATTATTACGTCTTCTTTATTTAAAAAGCATATAACAACTTTCAGAACCAATAATAATAACTACAATAGTGATAAACATAATTATACAATGAAACAGAACACGTATTTCCATCTAACATTCTCAAGTCTGTGCCATCAGACAAAAAAATACCTAGCTCGATTAAACTTGCATACGCGTAAATCATACATTGCCACAGGTCTCTGTTCAACCATTAACCAACAAAGTAATTTATATAAGATCGGAGAACAAGATAAGAAAATTACAATTAAATATCTAAAATATTTACATGTTAGAAACGTACCCAATTCGGTATGAATGAACAGGATATTTATCCACATCAAAACGACCAGAAAAACAACATCCATCTTGCCAGGAAGCATCTGAAAGTCACCATCGACCGACACAAAACACAACTACCCTGGAACACTGCACAACTAGATGTCGATTTCACTTCCTAGCAGTGCGGAATGAGTGTTTTGACATTGATTGACTGCAACTGATACGGTTGCTAAACCCGCAACACCAAACATTCACATACCACAACAATACCCGCCCTTATCCACTGAGATTTACACACTCGTTCATGGCACCTTAGTCCTGATGTATCTAAGATAACGAACATATGCTTGTTTACAGGTCCTTTCATTTTCCTTTGAGGAAAGCTTTGTATGAATTTATTGCCGCGCTACAAAGGATTTATTGAAGTGTTTATGCTTGTACATATATGAACAGTTATTGTAGGATATTACGCCGGTCACAGGGAGTGACTTTTGTTGTATCTCTTATAAATTATTTTGATAAACATAATTACTTGATAAATAAGGTCAAGGAACGTTAAGTATATATTGTGTTAGATGAATATTAGTTTGACCTATATTACCTGGACGCTTTTAATATATAGATGCCTCTTATATCATTATATTTATTGCATTTACCTTTCTTGATACAGTGCGCAATATTCTAGTTATAGTTATGCTTTAAAACTTTGCTTCATTTATATAATCTTAAAGGAAGTTAAATTTGATTTTGATATTTTGAAATAATACTGGTATACAGAGTGGATTATTGTAATTAACTTAACTTACAAAAAAAACCATGTAAATAAATGTAAAAAAATATGTTAGTAATTTTCCAAGGATAGTATTAGTTTTCAAAGAGAACACCGAAACAAATCAAATTTTCATTTTTACATCTGCTTTTCATTTCAAGATGAAGTAGGAACATCTAATTCAAGATGGGAGCTAGAATTGAACGTAAACACCAGCACCAGAAGACAGAAAAGTCAGTGCAAACAGGTACTAGTCAATGCAGAGTTGTGTCCCCTTACTGGGTCCGCGTTCAAACTTTTCCAATTTTGACCCAATCCATTTTTCCGATCCTCTCCTGGGAGAGAGCAGGTTTCTACGCTTCTAATCAGGACACTGGCCACAAGAAATAGATTTCAGACATTGTACCTATGTGGGGTATCACACAAATGCGTTGAGTGTGGCGAACGAGTGCTTCTACCACAAAACTACACAACCTTAGCTCAATTCGTTCGGGTAGCCCAGTGCTCGGAGCGTTCGCTCGTCACCCAATAACCCGGTTCCGATTCCCCGTGTGTGTCCAAATTTCTCGATATTGCTGGCTTATAAGCGGCGTAAAGCAATAATCAATCGCTCAAAACGTTTCAGGTCAGATACGCTGATTATGTGAACACGATCAAATTCTCAGGATGTTTGTTTACAAAGGTCAGTTTTAAGATGATTTGTGTAACATAACAGCAAATCAAAGCACATATATTCACTTGTGTGTGAACACATATCTGGGTTTCCCCCACGATAATTACTAGATATTGCTGATATATCGATCTCAGATTCATTCAAATATTCCCGATTTAAAGCTTTAAGGTTAAAGTGATTTAATCCAAAGTCCCGAAATTACATCATCACCCATTGTTTAAGGGTCCATTTGAATAGTGTATAAATGTAAAAGGTTCATGGTTGATCTAAGCCTTTAAACCAACATATGACAATCACCAGAGTTGTCTTGGTAAACGTCTGCGTCGCTTCGGACTTCCGGCTGTCAACAAACAGACACGGAAATATAGCTGACGTTCTTACTCACTGAACACATGAACTATCGTTCCTCTGGCAATGCTTATGCCATACCAACATGTTTATTTGCAAGGTACCTACTGAGTACGCACAAGAATCAAGGGAAGAATGGCTACGTGTAACCCGTTATTTAATTCACAGTGCTTTGATCGAAAACGTCACTGTGTAACCCACTGAACATAGATGTTTTCCATGACGAATGTTTGGGTATAGACATGCATTGACAAATATCGTTACAGAAACACATTCTGATGAACATCGGGAGCAGAGGTAGCCCAGTGCTATAAGTCGTCAGAGGAGCTGAAAGTCGCTGTGCAGAGTTGCGTCCCTTGGATACGGCAGACATCAACGTTTGTTGGTTCGAATCCCGCTTCTCCCTAATTTCTAGGTTTGTATTCATCATTTCCATGCTCGCGGGTTTCATGAACCATGGTCAACATTACTTTGGGTATTCCTGCCACATACATCTGACACGCCGTAACGTGAAATAGCTGTAAAACTGATCGCTCACTTTTTTTAAACATTAAAATGAGAATTGTGAATTTACAACAGATGTTAACAATTAAAAATATACGTAGTCTGGAACCACCTTGTCTTCGTTGTCGACCTTATCTTACTACTGGCATCTTTGCTGAAATCAACACCCGTATGTGTGAGACAGCAGTCTTCCATGTATGGATATTGCAGAACCACTTAATGCCCTAAAGTGTTTGCAAATATTTCCCAAATGATTTTGCACACATATCCTATGATCTGTAGGTTAGACTCTGCGATTAGTGGATTAGATGTCATCGTACCCTTACGGCATGAATCAGTGATCGTCATATCAATCACTTGATTGTCTGGACCCGCAGGCATACAGTTGGAACATTCGTAAATGACAACACGCACTTCGGCTTTGATGGTATGTTTAATACAAAAAGTAGAAAAATCCCAGAAATTCGCAATCTCTTCTCAATACAGTGGAAACAACTCGGCTTAGTAATATTTTATGATTATTGCGACATACAAGTTTTTCTTCTTACCAACTGACACCGTAAGGAGGGGTCTCAGTTGACATATTAACCAGCCATACAGTAAAATGCATGCATTTCCAGAATGATAAAACAAATACTGACACGAAAGCAAAGCTTTACACATGATCTTAACATTAACTATCTCAGCAATCAGCAAACATTGCCATATAAAACGTATACAAGCATACGGATCTGTAATTTGACAACTGCCTTGGATTAACTCTGAACAATTACCGTCATTGCCCTCAGTTTCCACTTCTATGACTAGAACCTTTAATTTTATGCTGAAAATAATACATGTCTTAAGCCACCTGGCATTCCGTTCCGTCCATATCAACATGCAGCTCCCTATATACAAAAGATCTTATTCATCCCGCAATCCAAATGGTGCCTTTATGTGTATAAGTGAGAAAGATTTCTAGGCTCCTGTGCTGATTTCATTCAATGAATGTACCATGTAATTGTGTTCATATGTATGCAAACATCAGGTCCAAAACCCAACTACGACAACCGAACATATATTTGGTTGGCCTTATCTGAAAGTGTGGTTTTAATTGGGGTGTCGTTGTGTATCGGTGTTCGTTATAATGACACGCATTGTCAGTTTGGTCATATGTCAAATGTTTTGTGTCATGATACTTATATACCCTTGAAGATACGGGTTAGAATTGATCTTCAGTAACCCATGCTTGTCGTAAAAGGCGACGAACGGGTTCGGGTGCTCAGGCTCGCTGACTTGGTTGACACGTGTCATCGTATCCCAATTGCGTAGATCGATGCTGATGCTGGTGATCACTGGATTGTCTAGTCCAGACTGGATCATTTACAGACCACCGTCAGATAGCTGGAATATTGCTGAGTGCGGCGTTCAACTAAACTTACTCACTCACTCATGATACTTATAAACATACTTTCATGCATTTACAACCTCCAAAACATGAATTTAAGCAATCGTGAATAATCGAGTTTTCGAAAAAGATTTTGTTGATTTTTCCATCCTTAGAATATATATTCGTGTTGAATTTTGTCAAATCCTTTTTCAGAAATAGGCCACAGTGCGGAGAGTGTCTAGACTATTTGGGTTTCCAGAATTACATTGTGAAGTGTTCAGTTTGTTTATGCTCTGAATCTGAAAGAAACTTGTTTTCTATATAATGGCACCTTGTCAAAGTGTTTTTATGCTTCTTCAGCATGACACCTTCCTTTCTTCTATATCTGTAAACACCCCTCGATAGCTTCGATACCATTGTTTGACCCCGTACTTAACGACATGGAATACTCGGAAGCGGCTGATTTATACAGTAATAAAGTGCCTGTCAAACTTGTGCAACTAACAAGTATCGTAATTAATATGAAGATATAAAGCGTTAGCGAAAGTGAATTATCAAATGAGGTGCCTGTCAAACATTATGCGGTAATTGACTAGTATCGTAATTATTATGTGAATATAGAACGCCAACCGCAGAAAACTATCAAATGTGGTGCCTGTCAAACATTATGCCTTAACTGACTAGTATCGTAATTATTATGCAAATATAGAACGTCAACCGCAGAAAACTATCAAATGTGGTGCCTGTCAAACATTATGCCTTAACTGACTAGTATCGTAATTATTATGAAAATATAGAACGTCAACCGCAGAGAATTATCAAATGTGGTGCCTGTCAAACATTATGCTGTAATTGACTAGTATCGTCATTAATACGAGAATAGAAAGTGTCAACAAAATATAGTTATGGATCGAGGTGCCTGTCAAACATCATGCGGTAATTGACAAGTATCGTTATTAATACGAGAATAGAAAGCTTTAACAAAATATAATTATGGATCGAGGTGCCTGTCAAACATCATGCGGTAATTGACAAGTATCGTTATTAATGCGTAAATATACGGGAATTGTGGAATTGGGTGGGTGGATTGCCCTCCCATATGGCACAGTATGAAGACGTCTGATAAACTGGAATGCCTTGGATCTTCCGAAGAACTACCGCCATTGCCCTCATTCTCCACTTCTATGACTAGAACCCGTGAGTTCATGACACATTCATGTTTCTAGACCTCCTTCTCCTGTAGACTACAATACCAGCCGCGATAATGGCAGCTAATACAAGCACGCCAACCACTATGCCGACAACTAGTCCAACGATGTAATCACTGGAGGTCTCGGGCAGAGCTGAAAGAAGTGAAAAAGCATTCAGTAATTGCGGGTTTATGTCTCAAGAAGACTGTTCAATATCTGATGGTATATATATCAAGTAGTGTTCAATATCTGATGGTACATATCTCAAGTAGTGTTCAGTATCTGATGGTACATATCTCAAGTAGTGTTCAATATCTGATGGTTTATTTCTCAAGTAGTGTTCAGTATCTGATGGTTCATATCTCAAGTAGTGTTCAGTATCTGATGGTTTATATCTCAAGTAGTGTTCAGTATCTGAGGGTTCATATCTCAAGTAGTGTTCAGTATCTGATGGTTCATATCTCAAGTAGTGTTCAGTATCTGATGGTTCATATCACAAGTAGTGTTCAGTATCTGATGGTTCATATCTCAAGTAGTGTTCAGTATCTGATGGTACATATCTCCAGAAATGTTTAATGGCTGATGGTTCATATCTCAAGTAGTGTTCAGTATCTGATGGTTCATATCTCAAGTAGTGTTCAGTATCTGATGGTACATATCTCAAGTAGTGTTCAGTATCTGATGGGTTCATATCTCAAGTAGTGTTCAGTATCTGATGGTTCATATCTCAAGTAGTGTTCAGTATCTGATGGTACATATCTCAAGTAGTGTTCAGTATCTGATGGTTCATATCTCAAGTAGTGTTCAGTATCTGATGGTTCATATCTCAAGTAGTGTTCAGTATCTGATGGTTCATATCTCAAGTAGTGTTCAGTATCTGATGGTACAGTATCTGATGGTACATATCTCAAGTCAAGTAGTGTTCAGTATCTGATGGTACATATCTCAAGTAGTGTTCAGTATCTGATGGTTCATATCTCAAGTAGTGTTCAGTATCTGATGGTTCATATCTCAAGTAGTGTTCAGTATCTGATGGTTCATATCTCAAGTAGTGTTCAGTATCTGATGGTTCATATCTCAAGTAGTGTTCAGTATCTGATGGTTCATATCTCAAGTAGTGTTCAGTATCTGATGGTTCATATCTCAAGTAGTGTTCAGTATCTGATGGTTCATATCTCAAGTAGTGTTCAGTATCTGATGGTTCATATCTCAAGTAGTGTTCAGTATCTGATGGTTCATATCTCAAGTAGTGTTCAGTATCTGATGGTTCATATCTCAAGTAGTGTTCAGTATCTGATGGTACATATCTCAAGAAATGTTCAGTATCTGACAGTACATATCTCCAGAAGTGTTCAGTATCTGAGGGTTCATATCTCAAGTAGTGTTCAGTATCTGATGGTTCATATCTCAAGTAGTGTTCAGTATCTGATGGTTCATATCTCAAGAAATGTTCAGTATCTGACGGTACATATCTCCAGAAGTGTTCAGTATCTGATGGTACATATCTCAAGAAATGTTTAATGGCTGATGGTTCATATATCAAGTAGTGTTCAATATGCAGGCTTTATGCACCTAGAAGTGTTCAATATCTGATATTTCATACCTGAAGCAGTGTCATTCTTCGGGTGTTTTGTTTGAAAGCGAATTCATGTTCATTTTGTTTCTCAGGTAGTGTTCATATCTCAAGCAGTGTTCATATCTCCAGAAGTGTTCAGTATCTGATGGTATATATCTCCAGAAGTGTTCAATATCTGATGGTTCATATCTCACGTAGTGTTCAATATCTGATGGTTCATATCTCACGTAGTGTTCAATATCTGATGGTTCATATCTCAAGTAGTTTTCAGTATGTGATGGTTCATATCTCAAGTAATGGTCAGTATTTCAGGCTTTATATATCTAGAAGTGTTTAATATCTTATGTCTCATACCCGACGTAGTGTCATTCTTAGGGTGTTGGATATTTTACATTTTAAGTGTAACATACAGACTTTATTTGGCCGTGCAATGAAAGAACAATTATTGGAAGTATAATCTCTAATCACTTACGTTTTACTAGTTTGGGACGAGCTGAGTATGAAAGTTTAAATCCAGATCCGGAAGTGACATCATCACTATGGAAGACAAGTGTCATAAATATTCCAGAACTTTGGAAGGAAGGGTGTTCAACTCCACACCATCGGATAATTCTTGAATTTACTTCGTTATTTATGCTGGGACCTGTAAAAATAGTTAAGGATCATTATGTAGCAAAGGGAAAAACAACAGCGTCTTGTATTTGAAGTATTCCTTGTGTAGTTGACAGTATGCAAGCGTCTTCGAATGTGTGATCATTGATATGATATTTATCATTTACTGAATCATAGAAGTTTGCGTGAACTAGATAACCCAAATAACATGACTAAACATAAAATATTGTTAGTATTGTCATAAATGTACATTTGTATCAATTTCAGGAAAAAATAGCATTGATCGTGTAACAGTGGTTAATTTAAAGGCAAAAACGCATGGATGTCAACTTCCTTTATCGTGAAGAACACGAGCTGATGAAGGAGTAAGAATATACCCCGAAACGTCTTGTTCATCACAATAAAGAAATTGACATCCATCAATTCTTATATTTATTAGTCTGTCATACAGACCCTGAAACAAAAATATCCGAGAAATCACCCATGCAAGTCTAGATTATGCGACAAGTCTAGATTTCCACAGTTTCTGATAGTGAAACGTCTCAGGGCTCCTCTTTATATTCTATACCTTGGATTATGAACTGTTTTTCTGTAAAACATGTTCATTTCAGAGACTAGTGGTTAGTCTTTGACTTTATGTGTGTGGTCACGCGTGGTATATATAGCAAAATGATCTATTATCAATACAGAATTGTTGATACATTATCACTTTGGTATTTGGAAGCTTTCTATTGTTGGTCAGCTCCATATATAGATATAAACACATATTGCTTGTTACTTCATATAATTAGGTCTGTGGTACAGATATGTGATGATTGTGGTACCATCAAAAGCCTCTACATAATCCTTTGTGCAATCAGTCGACGTCTCCATATACAGATATAAACACATATTGCTTGTTACTTCATATAATTAGGTCTGGTGTACAGATATGTGAAGATTGTGGTACCATCAACAGCCTCTACATAATCCTTTGTGCAATCAGTCGACGTCTCCATTGACGACTCCTCCACCTCCACAAAGACGACATAGCCTTGGGGGGCGATCAGATCCCATACACAGTCAGTGTTTCTGGAAAATAGGTTTTAAAGGTGTTAAACCAACCAATTTGTTTCGTATTTTATCTATGGATCAAGATATAAAGCGACAAAACCCTGTCAACAAAACTACACGTCCAGAGGGGTGACTTTGACTTTCCTATACCTAACCTTTCGTTCAATACTCCAGTAGTTCCAGCCTTTGGTGTATACAAGTCACCACTTGTTAGTCCAATAAAGCATGCTCTTTCTGAGAAGACATAAAACCGCGTCAAAACTATTTGATTTAGGGATTACTACATCCCAGGCTTTGGCCAAACTAAACCAGGACAGGTAGAGGGCAAGTCTTACGCATACTTTTCTTTTTCTCAGGTATGCAATGTACCTGCTTTGACATGCGTTTGTGACGGATGACGCTCTTCAGAATATTCCCACCTCTCGAGACCTTTTTCAACTTTCTATTAACTCGTTTCTTTAAAAAAGCATCAAAAACATGTTTCAGGGCATCAATATTACTATAACTACAAGCCATATAATGCTTCATTGTATTACAAGTAATTGCTTTCTGCAGCACAACCATGCCAAATATTCGTCAGATATTGCAATAGTGATTATTTTGTGCTTAATCTATAGATTCACTTGTAGAATTAAAAAGTGAAAACGATTTTAACCATTACACATACTTTTCTCTAAATAATTATTTCTAATTCCTCTGTGACATGTGAAAAAGTCATACATTTGTTATCAGCACAATATTGAACAATTTTTATTGTCGGGACTGAATTCTTCTGTGAACGAGGGTACGATGCTTGCAAAACTAGGAGATTAGGCACAATTCTGTAAAGCCCCGCCGTTTACGGTGCTGCTGTTAGCTGTACAGAGTTGCGTCCCTTCCCTTAAGCTTATCACAAACCTATGATCGAACACAGTGACTGTCTGATCGGTAACAGTACTCACGCTGGGTAGGTCTGTGGATACAGTGGCGATGTGATGGTCAGATTTGTGTCCAGGGCATTCAGATACTGTTTCGGACATGTTTCTGGGAGGATACAATGAGAAAGATGTAAAAGTGTCACACACAGACACACGGAGACACATACAGATACATCTTTTTATATAAGCTGATTGCACTTAGCTTACTTAATTGAACAGTATGAATATATATATTCATTGTTTCCATTCGCCAAATTTTTTCATGATGTTTCACAAGATGAGACACAGTTAAAACACTTGATTGAAGGTAATCACTTGTGTCTTCCAAATCATTATATCTATTTACCAATTTGATAATATAAGAAAAGGGCTGGCATTTCATAAAGAAATAATCCAGAGGCCAAATATCCAAATGATAGGTTTGCACATCATCATCATCATCATCATCATCATTAAAAGTTGTATGTACTCTATAGGGCGTTTAGTATATGTCAACATACAATTGGAGAAAACAGGCCAAAATCGTCAAAATTTGCTTGAATACAAACTGTAGTGCGAACTATATCTTATAATGCGGTCGTTCGTTATAAAATGTTCCAGGTATTTTCTATACGATACGTGGTAGGGGTGAAACGGTACGCTCTTACCACGGTACGGTACGCATTGCTGTACAAGGCCTTCTGTTCGGTCCGTTTCGGTTCGGTATATGTGATATGATCTTGATATATCATCATTACGGTATACCGAACCGAACGCAAAATACCGCGGTTCTTCTAACACGTGGATATAGCGCGGTGACATGAAAATTGTTTACGTACGTGCCTTGAAACGGGTTAAATAATGTTTTCCGCCACTGGAACCATTGGCATCGTTCTTCTCACGTATAATAATAATGAGAAGTCTTATAATGCGCTAATCTCCACGCAACAAAACATGCTCAAAGCGCTAACGCCCTGATTATTATTGCCCCGGATAACCCCAGCTGCCTGCTAGGCGCTAGAAGGTTATAGTCACATGACTTTATCCAACCGGGTACCCATTTTCTGCTGGGCGAACAGAGGCAATTTTGAACAAACTCACTTGCCTAAGGTGAGACCACATGTGTCACATGTGCTTTGTTGTGGGGCAGGAAGGAAAGTCCTAGAAACTCTCGGGAGTCAAGCTGTCAAACACGGTCACCCATCCAAGAACTGTCCGAGCTCGCCGTTGCTTATCGTCAACTGATTCGTGACCTGCGCTCTGTGCACAGGACAACACGCTACCACAATACAATGATACAGTATTGTTAAAATACTCAAAAAGATTTCTGAACACCCGTTCTTGCGTTTTTCCATAGAAAATACAGGTCGTGTGAGCCATGTTTGTTTGACGATGTGCAGTTCCCGAGTCAATGTAGCGACAGCGCAGCATACCAGGGGAACCAGGCTGTTCTCTTTCATTTTATCCGACCTACAATGTTTTTTCAGATCACAACATATTTTGACACTTTAGATTGGGATCCCACGGTTTTGGAAAGTTCGTAAACCAAGGTGAAAAAAGGTCTAATTTCGAACAGTGTTCCAAATTGCTAGTTTGTTGATCTGACATTTACGCCACTTGTAATACACAAGACATGTACACGAGTCACTCAACCGCGGCAATTACACTCATGCTTCACAATATATACACGAAATTTGAAAGATAAAAATGACAGCTTCTTAAAAAAGGACGAGGTAGAAAAAGGGCCCAATTTGGAAATAGTGAATTGAACTGAGAAAAAATAGATTTATCAGATACTCTTTCTCACGCGTTCAAGATTTGTACTTTCGTAAAATGATTGAAGATTACATAAACGTCATTAGAAACGTCCGAGGTATGATTGCGTGTTATACATACGTGGTAAACAGGTTTTCTTCTTGATGCATTTGATGGCCCGTAAATTATACTAAAATACACTCCAGGAACGTTATCCTCAAAACGTTCGTCATCCTCGATAATCTCCAGGGTACACGTTCCGATAAATCTCCACCAGTGGAACGTATACCATGGAGATTTTCGTAGAACTATGCCATTCGTGAGAGTTACGGTAGGTCGTAACGTTACGAACACGTTGTTGATCGGGATCCTGACTATTAATATTCACATACCACCATGTTGCAATAAATCGCCGGAAAGAAAGATTGATAACTGCGTAACCCCAAGAATGGATTATTTGTAGATTTAATTACTTGTTCCTACGTGTATGAAATAATGGAAACATGGACTTTCTGCACCATTGATAAGGCTACATACCGTTAGGCTTGACGGCTCTGAGGTTCCACCTGAAACCTCCTCCAGCAACACTCTCATCTGAGTGGAAGACGATGGTTAGGAAACGGCCAGTGCTGCTGTATACGATGAAGTCGTTGCCACAGACTTTGCTCACAACGCTGCTGTTAGCGTCTGGACCTGAAGATAGTTTTGGAGAGGCCGCCTATTTTTTGCGTTTTACTTTTACATCTTTTTGTGTGAACATGTGCTTGATATACAGTATAGTACTCTAAAAAACGAAAACATTTCAGTTTAATATTGGTTGTCTGTCAGAGGTAAAAGAACGACCCAGATAACGATATACAAGATTAACGGGTAATGTTAAACAATCGGTTGGCTCTTAATGAGTCTGGTTATGTTTTTGTCATATTTTACTTATATGGTAACCTTAGAGCGTATATGCCTTAACAGTAGCGTATTGGGTCTTTATCTATGCTCCATTTCAAATAATATGGAGTTTGCTCAGGAATATGACATAGAGTAATTTTAAAACGAAATGTGTACACCCGTTCATGAAAGCAGTTCTCATTTCATATTGTGATCAAGAGGGAAACGATGACATATTCCAAGTGAGGCGGTGGGGTGGTCTTGCAGTTCGCTCCTCACTCCGAAAGTGAGTGAGTGAGATTAGTTTTACACCGCTTTTAGCAATATTCCAGCAATATCACACATTGTGTCCGTGTGGGAAATCGATCCCGGGTCTTTGGCGTGACGAGCGAACGCTGTAACCACTGGCTAACCCACCGCCCCACGTCGAAAGCCGGGTTCGATTCCTCACATGGGTACACCGTGTGAAGCTCATTCTGGTGTTCTAAGCAGAGATTTTGTTGAAATATTGCAGTAGCTAAAATCCGTGTAAAACCCAACCCACTCACTCACTCATATTTCAAGTAGAATCTTATGAATGTACATATACTGGTATTAGTACGGGGAGCTATTGTCTTTAACCATTTCCCAATGCGATGCCAGAACAGAACACAGAGCACAGTTACACAAGAGACTATGCTTTGAAATGACCGACGTATCTTGTCACGGTGACGTAAAATAACACTCACTCTCCCTTTCACTCACCATCAGCAATAAGGACATAATCTTTGCGACAGAACAACGAGTGTTCAAGTCCCATAGACCCGTCATTGTCTGTAACCAGTACTCGATGGTTTTCAGGAGCTTCTATATGATACACGCAGTCTAGATTCCTGGAACACAAGACCAATGGTCAACTTAGGCCAGTCTGGAAACGGAAGAATTATGTAGGAAGAAAGGTAGGACCCGACAGTTGGATAGTGTGTAAGTTTGTGCGTGCGTGTGCGTGTGTGTGTGTGTGTGTGTGTAAGGGAGGGGGTGGGATCAACACTCCATGGTGGTGCCGAAAAGTAGTCTGCAGTTACAGGTTATTGGATATAGAAGTTGGTTTGAAACCGCAGGAATACTTTACCAGTTTGATGCTCTCATAACGACACTTACGCGTCATAGTCTTGTGTGTAATAACCCAGCGACAGGATTGACTGAAATGTGTCATCAGCTGTGAAGTTTCTTCCACAAGGGTAGGGTTCTGCAAATGGAATCATGGAGCGTGTTTAGTATAACGACACTAGAGACAGTAACCCAGTCACAGTAGTTCCCTTATATCGGGGCTTGTCACCTTGATGTCAGTTCCTTGAACATTTGTTACTTTCATATGGTGTTAACGCCATTTAACAGTATTCCAGTCATGTCCCTTCCTGTCAGTGTTAAATGGGAAGACGAGACGCAGGTCAAATCATAATCGGAGGAAACCAAGATTCGAACCCACGATCATCTCTTTCTGGCATGCCCATTGGACGCAAGTCTACACAGTGAATTGTGGCGCCACCCGTGCACCCGTCTTTTTTGTGGGTGAAATCCGGGCATAATTCTGACATACAAAACATCATAGTTTAGGCGAAATATGCGTTTGAATCAGCAATAGAATTATCCTGGTGCAAAGAAGGTAGGCAACTCTGCCTTAACAAATACGTCGTTTAAAAAATGTATATAACCGGAACATATTGCACGTACCTTTTGTTATAAAGTACCGAATTCTTACATCTTTCGGATTGAACGATCCGTCATATCGGAGATAAATCGTCATATTTGGCTCATTTCCCTCAAACTCTGGTCCACGAACTGAACAGTGCTGATTTGGAATGCGTGTCGATTCATCACGTTGACCTGAAAATTATCCATAGAAAAAGTCTTAAACTTGCTAACAGAATGAGGTATCGCAGGTTTTATCGCCTAAACATTTCCCAAATCTAAATCTAATTCTTCGTTTATATGCAAAGAACCTTCTTGGGGCATATATTTGTGTAAGCTTTAGTAACATAAAAGGGTTCATTCATCGAGAAAATTATGTCATGTTTTAAAGTACCATCAAACACCTCCAGTAAATCTCCGCTGCAGAATTTCTCTGTCTCTGGGTAGAAAACAGTTAATCGGATCATATACTCTGAGCCCGTTCTTGGTTTTCGCACTGTCCAAATGAAGTCCATGCTTCTACAATTAGAAAGAGGACAATGAACTGATGAGCTGTTTTTATGTTCATTTGACTTTCAACCGCTCCAATGTTCCAGCAGGTGTAGCCAATTGCCGTGGAGCAAAAGATGGGTGCTTAAATGTTCCTGATCCTGACCTCGTCATACGAAAGTCACTCACATTAAATTTAAAGTTCCTTTGACTGACTGACTGACTGAGTTTAGTTTTACGCCGCTTTTAGCAATATTCCAGCAATATCACGGCGGGGGACACCAGAAATGGGCTTCACACATTGTGCCCATCCTTTGACATAATTCTTGATAAACATGCAACTATTGGATACGTGCAGAGCAAATAAGCTACATGACCTTAAATCCGTTACGAATATAACAAAACTCTATGGACGGCCACTGTGGTGTAGCGGACAGAGTGTCTTCCCTGAGAGCGGCAGGTCGTTGATTCGATCACATAACCGTGTCATACCAAATGACGTTCAAAGAGGACACTTGTTGTCACCACTTTGATCGGCATTACGGGCATTAAACAATTACTTGTCGGTTTGCAATCCACATAATGTGTATAAGTGGAAAATCCATGTTAAATTGTGCCATGGTATCTTAGATGAGACTAGCACTATACAATCGGACAAACACCAGCTGCATTAGGCGTGCATGCATTACTGACACATGCGTATTATATATTTCATGAACTGTACATGATTACACACAGTGCCTTCACAAGTAACCAATTTAATTAACTAAAACAAAAGTTGTTCAACGCACAACGAATGAGTGAAATTCACTTTTAACTGTTGGATTTAACTTTTCATAAATGTAAGGTTGAAGTATTGTGCTATAGATACACGTATGTAACAACGAAGTTTTTTCAGAAGAAGGAATTTTACGGCGCTATTATATCTATTGACACACAGTTAGTTTTCTATTGTACGTACTGGTTGGGAGAAAGCTCTATTGCATCCTGTACATGGAGGTACTTGTAGGCCACCCCCGCAAAAGGGTCAGTTGTACCTATTACCGGTGCCGTATTTTCGCCTGTAATAATCAAATATATCATAAGATAAGGATATAAATATTTTCAACACTAATGGACCCTTCACTAGTGCTGTTTCAACATATTTAGAACACAGGGAAGAACGTGATGGGAACCAAACAATTTATTTTTTGCTTAATATTTTCCATTAAAAACCCATATTTCGTGAATGAACGACCTCGTTTTGAAAAACGAATGAGTTTTTTCAAGATTTGTTTAAAGTGATCACCTTTCTCCAAATATAATCCAAACCAGAGGGACACTAAGAGCTCGGTCAGGGCATTTCAACGAAAACGGCAAACAACTCACTGTAAGGCATCAGCGAGGATGATTCATGAATAAAAAGGTTTTTGCCAATTGGATTTGGATGGGAAAAATGTTCAAAACTTCTTGGTGTATATGATGCATTAGCTGAGTTGAACAGTATATACCGATGGAAACAAATATGGGAACACATTAAAATACAAGTGTAACTTTATTCTTTTCCAGGTTTCTTGGCACGTTCTGCATTGCGTTGTGGGTGAAAATCTCCAAATACAGAAACACCGCGATGAAGTGGTGTTCCCTTATTTGTTCCCCTCAGTATATATATTTACACTGCACAGAGTCTGGGTCTGATCACGTGGAATTGATAAACATGACTTTCTCAGGTGAGTAATATTACTAAAACCTCAGCTCATCTGACACTTACCTTTGACTGCCCTGTATCGAAATCTGAAGCCAACCGCTCGGTTGAATGAACTTTTTCGTCCTGTCTTGAAATGGAGAGTCACATTGTTATTTGTTGTCTGGATGACGGGGCCTTTCTTGCCGAAATATCTCCCGAGAGACAAGTCGCCTAAAAAGACAATGTGTAAGAATCGCAGTATAAACAATATTATTATAAAGAATGGATTCATTAACATGATGATCATTTAAATGTACCATTACACGTTGAGATAATGTTGTTCAACAATTATTCATATATTCCTATCGGTGTAAATCTAGTAGGCTGTGTAAAAAATAAGCTACAACTGGACGACCTAAAAGCTTTACATACCTTGTGTTACCGACAGAAAATCATTGACCTGGTTGGAGCCATTATGGACCAGACTGAATGATTCTGTCTCCAGTACGATGTAGTCATCTTGATTCTCGGTTGAAATCACATACTTTCTGTCAGTATCACTGAAAATATAGGCATGGGATTGAGAGATGCAGCATCTTTGTAGAAATATGTCATCTAAAGAGTGTCCTTTCCAATGTGGTACTTCTCATACCAAACTTTCCATGAGTGCCGAAACTTGCCAAATTTCTAACAGTAAAAGGTTGCAATGACAAAAATACCATAACGAATAGTAAACGGAGCTAATAAGTTATATATTCACGTTGCATTGTGAATACAAATGAAGCAGGTAAGAAGTGGATATTTAATGGTAATGAAATCGATACGCGTATTGTCATATTCAGGTAACCTAATGGTTAATGCGTCACCTCGTCACGCTGAGGACCCGATTCGATTCCCAACATGGGTACAATGTGTGAAGACCATTTCTGGTGTCCTCCGCATATTGCTGGAATATTGCGATTAAAACATACGGCCTCACTCATATCCGTGTTTTGGACCATGCGATTGCAGGTTCACTGCAACTGGTTTTAGCCCTTTAACGTTCTGATAACGTTTTAGTAAAAATCAAACTTTCACATGTACCCATTTGCTATGTAGTTCAGTAAATTTTACTGCATCACAAATCGTTTAGCATGACAATGACATTGTGTAGGTACTGGTTGTCTATATGTAGAATTCTGAACATATTCTTAAGTTTCTTTGAAATGATACATAACATGCATGTTAAGACTAGTCAGCCCTGCTACTCATTGTTATTTATGTAACAAAAGAAAACGTTCAGCATGTCCACCTTGTAGGAACACTTCTCAGAAGTCACCCTCTTGTTCACATAACGTACAATCAGTACCTCAAGTCATGTACAAATGATAACATCATATCGTATATGTCTCACCGATGAAGCAATAAGACGTCATCTAGTTCAATTGACCAATCAGTAAACAGAATCGCTGAAACGGACCAATGGTTAGATATAAAGTTATTACACTCGATATTTGGTCACATCAAGCATATTCTTACTTGTAGTAGAAGTTTGGAAAACCAGGAGACTCAAGCACTGATTCTGCGGAAGTAGCAATAAGCTGGATACTCTCGGATTGTTCTGTAACGACAACACATACCGATGCTACAGACATGTTTGCACGCTTATTCACGCTCCAGACAGAAATACTAAAAACTATTAAAATGGAAAATATCATCAATAGGAATGGGTTCGTGTTTGAATGGTGTTAGCACGATGGTTTCAGGACCCCAAGGCGGCATGTTCATGGTCGAATCTTAGGAGAAGACCATGGCGCAGGATAAGACCCATTTGATCAAGTCATCCAGGCTGTCCATAGATGGACTCGTACGACAAGTATAGGTTGCTAAAAACCTATTTTAAGTAGGTACCTAAAGCCTAAAGGCATAAACCCTTGTCGCATGAAATTCAAAGGGTGTTACTATTAAGTTATTTTGAAAGATAAATACATAAAGTAGACGTATAACCTGGAAAAGAATTCAGCATTGTCCTTGTATTTTTTCATGTATCCTAACCTTTTATGTATCTTGAGGCACTATATAGATCTGACATTGTGATGCATCCATCCATACCAGTTGACATCCTGGAACAATACATGTACCTCGAGATGTTTGCAGGTACTTGCTCATACTATAAGGCCTCAGACCTCAGTTACCTTACCATGACCCGGAAGGAAAATAGGACAATATAGTGCATTGTTTCAAATGGGCTGTTTTTCAGGGTGACTTGTGACAGCTTAATGTCTGGAAGATCAGACATTGTGCTTTATTGCAAGTTTTTGGTCCACATTCTGACTAGGGCCTTTCATGATTTGACCCCAAGTTCAAGGCTTTTTAGTGTATCTCGGCTCGAAAGTCCCGGTGACCATTGTTGACAGTGCATACAGCAAAGTTGCGATGGTGGAAGAAGGCCGATATTTTGCCAGTTAAGTGACAAGTGGCAGGTTGGTCAACATGCAAAAAGAGAACACCCTACGACCGATATTGCTTATGGTGAACTGGCATGTCAGTCTAGATAGCAAAGAAGGAAAATAATTGTGGCCTGAGGCCACATGGTGAGGCAGAGGAAGCAGAGAAAAGGTGGGGAGATAACCTAGTTTTCAATGGCGCATCAGAAAATTCTTCCGCTTGCGGTAGCTATTACTATGGAACATAACATATATGTAATAAAATAATTAATATCAGCTTACTATTGCTCGTTGTAATCAAGTAACGTAGCAGTAAACATTTAGTACCGAATGCAGAATACAATGTAGTTACCTTTTTCTTGGTAAAATTTGAAGAGAAATATTTTGTAGTACGTAGGGTCAGCAGCCATGTAAAAAGCGCCATTTTCCGTGTAGAGTAGTCTTTTCTCACCATCTCCACACCAGCTCCGCACAGGTGTTGTCAGTGTGGGTCCTATATAACAGATATTCCACAGCTACATACATTTAATGGCACACGTGTATTTATATAGACAGGGGCTTGTAGATATTAAAGCTATTCTTCTAAGGATGGAATATGCCCCCAGCCCCTCATTACTATATCATTTAGTCGTTAGAGGCCACTGCCAGTAGCGTACCTGCCATTAGGCACTTTAGGCAATATTTTTCGTCAATTCACCACTGTTCCCGTGACATCAGCATCAAGGAGATGCTTCAGTGCAACTAGGAGGATCAAGACGTAGGGGAGACAGGGGTCAATTGTAACAAGGGCGATTACTCTAAACGTTTTCGCTCCAGCATAGTGTAGGTGAGTAGAGTTACTTCTCTTTGTTTTCCTGCGGTGCACATCCGGACGTTTTTGTAACATATGCAATTGTAAGGTGCTGACAGCAATAAAGTTTACTCCTCAGAACACAGACATCGTTTCTTATTAATCCACATATTTGTCATTTGTTCAAACTATGTTCATACATAAAATTAATCAGGAGCTAGGTGAGAGCATGCCACAAAAAACCCTCGAAGTCGCGTGGGTCAAGTCGTGCCTATACTTCATATCATTCCTGGGTACGCCCCTGACTGCATTGGAAACCGTGGGGATCTTGGTTGCAATTAGTCCCTCGTAATCTCCAGTGGTCGTAATGGATCTGGTTAGGCTTGGTGAATAGGTTGCTTACATACTCCGACGACCCGAGCATTGTTCATTATATTAATTACTGGATTGTATGTATTCATAATTGTTTAATTTTTGGCCGCCGTCGTATTGCAGGAAGAATGTTGCTTGGATGACGGAAACACACAAAAAAGAAGAAAAATACACAAGAAAATCAGTGTGAATGTACAGGCAGAACCATAAGCAACCCACGCTTATTTGGTTTGGAATAACTGCATGATACGCTTGGACATTGTGCATTGAACAATAAAACCAGGTTTATGACATCGATACAAACCGTTAAATACAGTGTTTATTGTACAATGGTACCAATACGAACCTTTGAATACACTGTTTGCTGACAATACAATAAATGTTGTAGTATAAATTCAAACCGTTAAATACTCTGACTTTTGCCACTTCGCATTCACTTGCGTTTTTCACCCTTAGAGCCAAGGTGTCAAGGACGACGCGGTTGCCAGGGTCCGTCGACTCTATCCGCCACCAGCAGTGAGAGTTTCTGATTAAACACGAATGTATAAGCATGTTGTACCTTGTATTTTAAGTACATTTAATAGTGTAGCTTAGTCACATAGTTATTGTCTCCGGGTATTATAATTAAATAAATCTGAATAGTAGAAAATACGAGAAATCATGATCCGTTGATTCCTGATGTAGAATTTTAAGATCCTGAGATGACTAGTTTTCTTCCTGAAATAACAGTTTTGAGTGATTTCTTTACTTAAACCATATTTTGGTTGACATTTTTAAATAGAATTTATGTTTAACTTACATGTACGAAAGTCGTAGCTCAGTAGCTGTGCCGACGTCAATGACGTGACAGAATTATAACCACGAACTTGTAAGTCACATTCAAAACAGTTAAAGATAGTTACATTGTTTCTTAAAAGAATTACCCCAGAAAATCTGATGTTTACTTTCTTTTGTAGATCAGTTTAGATTGTTTCTCCCACATGAAACTGACACGATATGACTGGAAATCTGTTCGAAGCGCCATGAAAACCAACTTACTCACTCAAAATATGTTATAGTACATTTATTAATTGTTGGCATGGAACCAGAAACCACATTGTATATACAAAATACAACAACAAAAACAACAACAACACAATAACCCAATATAGCCACAGATATAAAATAGGGCGCCAACATCCTACCATCCAACGATGTGTTTCTTACCCTGAACTGCTCATGCCCGGATTAAACAGAAGTCGGGGAGTTGTGCCTGCTTGTAGAGTGATGTTGCAATCATTTACCGTATCTGTCACAAAAGAAAAAAGAAAACAATTATCATCTTGTTCATCCTCGATTATCTCGTGAATTAGGTCTCTTTTATTTTTGTCCTCACATTTAATTTAGTTAAATACTCTGGACCAATCAATTTCAAAAAGTCTTTTTTTGTCGAATCCCAATATCTCGATGAAAATAGACGTCATATGGTGCGGGTATATAGACATGGAAGACTAGTAGGCATAGTGAGCTCACTTCCTTAACGGACCGCCTCCGTGGTGTAGTGGTTAGAGCGTCCGCCCGGAGAGCGGAAGGTCGCGGGTTCGATCCCCGACCGCGTCATACCAAAAGACGTTAAAATAAGGTACTTGTTGGTGCCTGCCTGGCGCTGGGCATTAATGGGTACAACAAGGACTGGTCGGCTCGGAGTCAGTATAATGTGTCTGAGTGGGGTATTCATGCTTCACTGCGGCATGGTATCTCAGTGGTCTAGCACTATAAAACCAGCTTAAGTCTGGGCTAGTACAAGCAGCCGCACATACACATACACACGCATGTACGTCGTCATATGAGCGAAATATTCTCAAGCACGACGTTAAACCCAATTTCACCTCACCTCACCTCACCTCACTTCCTTAACGAAGCTATGGGAATGGATCCAAGGTCTTTAATCACATCAACAGCTGATATAACGCACAATCATTGCACAATATAGTTTTAATAATCTCCCAAAAGAGGTAGAGGTGAATAAACTATATAGATGTAAATACCAAGTATTTGACAAAAGACAATTGTTGACCACAAACACAATATGCATAAGAACGCAAACGTCTGTAAAACTTTACACCAAAACACATCCTATAATTTGCACGAACAGCACGTTGTAGCGACACACACATACGTTTTTTTTCCAAAACACATTCTATTCTTTCAATCACCAAACATCGGACTCGTCTCTTATGTATATGTAATGATATACCACCTGCCGATCTTGAGCAGATATTGCATACCCTTAATATGTCCCAAAATATTAAATAAACATTTTATAAACTGTTTAATTTAATTACTAGAGATCTTTTCTACGCCAATCAAATAAAGCAAATAATTTAAAGTTAGATTAAAATAAACTGTACATACATAAACAGTTTATATTACCTAGAGGTGAGGTGAGGTGAAATTGGGTTTTACTTCGTGCTTGAGAATATTTCGCTCATATGACGATATTACCTAGATGATTCGATACTATTACATGACCAGTACCAAATTTTCGAGTTTAATATGATAAATTTACACGCATTACCAATGTACGGTCAGATGTGAAAGTTCATATCCGTGTCCTCTCTGAATGACCTGGAGGATATCTTTATAAACGTTTTGCAAATCCGATTTTGAATCGGCAAATATTGAAAAGAACGAGTATCAAGATAAGGACATAAAATTTAGGGCTGTAGTCATGACTTCGTCCCTGCTCACGAACCAGCTGCCCATGTACATAGCTGGAACAACAGGTTCTGCTTGTATTGTATACCAGCATCGCTCTCCTTAACAAGCACCCTCCCCACCAGCCACGATGTTTGTACATTCAGCTGATGGGAAGAACGCCTTTCCCGGGGGTTGATGAAGTGCTGTTTTATATAATCCCTTTTAATGTGTTTTTTTGCTGCTTGTGCTACATTTACAAGGGTAATAATTGTGGACGCGACGTTAAACGCAATTACATATTGTCTCGCCTATTTAGAGAAACATCATCTACTGTTAAAGCTTTGCTACCGAGGGACTAAACAGGTAATTATCATTGAAATGTTAATTCAACATGATTCGTATGAATGCAGGTTTTAATATTCAAGGTCCAGGGTGTTGGTGGTCTCATTGCTTTAACTACATAAAACCGAAGTCACTTAACATCTATGACATCACGTCCTATGAAATAGCCTTACACAATTACTTATCTATCGTAATGACAGTTTTTGTTTCTTTGTTGGTTAACGCTGCACTGAGCATCACCCCAGCTATATGATACCGGTCTGGAGGTAATCCAGACTGGACCTGTCAGACCAGTGATTGATATTTTGAGGAGCAATCCCCGCCCTCGGTCTACGATGACACGCACCCAACAAGGTCCCCATCACCTATACCGACCACCGATCCATTAAGTTGCCTCTATAACACGACCAGCAGTGGTTGTTGGGTATAATACGGAGCCAGGTGCCCCCAAATGTAGCATGACTACATGTAAGTGTAGGCTATTTTGAAACTCAGCCAGCAGTTAATATTACCCAATATTACCTTTGAATTATCGTCAATAATACCTAAAATTACTAATATTACCTTTGAATTCTCATCGATCCGTGAAGATCCAGGTTAGAATTGGTTTCCAGCAACCCAAACTTGTAAGTAGCCTAGTGGTTAAAGCCTTCGCTCGTCTAAGGCCCGGGTTCGATTCCCGACATGGGTACAATGTGTGAAGCCCATTTCTGGTGTCCCCGCCGTGATATTGCAGGCATATTGCTAAAAGCAGCGTTAAATCCAACTCACTCACTCCTAAACTCTCAGTGTGATAATGCATCACCGAAATTTGTGAGGCTATCGCGGAACAGCTGATTGTCTGCAGTACAATTAATCTCTCAAGTCGCTGAACCTCAAATATCTGGAATACCGGATCTGGAAAATTACTGTTTTCGTGTTCCATGTCCACTCAATACTTTGCTGAGATTTGTTTTGTTCTAAAACTGTTGTGTATACGTTAATGTTTTACAGTCCTTTGTCGACAGATATTTATAAGTTATTATTGATTAAAGTGTATTTATCGCCATAGGGCGGAAATGTTGCCGATGCGGTGTACATGTGTATTCACTCACTCACTTGACACAAGTACATACAAATGCTCCGATACGTTTCCAGTCTGGACGATTATACTACAAATATCTATTTTATCTTTTCGCAAACACGTGGAGTCATCACTATTTGAAAATGACTTATAAACGCTTGCTCATGACATAGTCGGAATCGTACAATCGACTCTACTTTTCGTAGAGATTTCGTATGAAAATGGAAACTTATTTTTCAAGTTAAACACTTTGCTCTTTATTTTATAATAACAAAAATTATGTAATGAAATATTTATTTACATACAAAATGCGTTTTTTTAGAAAACAATAAATGCTTTTAAACGTCTTAAAATTATAATTATAAATTCCCGATAACTAAGTATTTGAACTAATTTTTTGTTACAAATTGGATTCGGTGATATGAGGAATTAAATTTTTTGTGATGTCTTTCAATCAAAAAGGAAACGTGCCTCGTGGACAGACCTGGAACGTATTCCAAAAATTCCCCTCAAACTTGATTAAGTTGTTGCTACTGTGAAGATGCATCTCTGATGCAGCTAGCTTATACATGTATATGTATAATCACTTACCGTAACCTTGGAAACAGGATATTGTAGACACAGAAGCTGCGATTACGAAGCTCCATGTTATCCATTTCACTGAGTATTCCATTTTTCAGTTAATGTCTCACCCACAGATTCAGAAACTTTCAGTACAAGTGTAGCGTTAAAACACGGTCACCTCGACTTTACTTGTTTACAAGTTCCCGACCGGATCCGACTAATGTGTGGTAAATATTGAGTGGAGTAGTTATATCCGAGCACACCTCGGTAGGAATATATCACTGCGCATCAATGTATGCTACACACTGTCCCGCTATTTCCTCGTAGAATGTGTGTGCCTGTTGTTCTCGGAAGACGCTCGTATCATTCTGTTGACTGGTCGGGGTTTAGGAAGCGCAATGCCTCGGTATAACGCCCTCATTATATCGCGATGTTGACAAACCCGTCTGTCATCCCACAAAGAGGGACTACGACTTTCGTAATGCTAAAAATGCAATGTAGACTTACGTCAGCCTTAACGCTAAGGCTGATATATTGGGCGTCATGTGGTATAGTTTAGTGGATAAAGCGTTCGCCCGAAGCCGTGGGTTCGAGTCCCAGCATGACGTCAACATTTTCAAGATACTGATTGTGGGGTGTTCATTGGGGTCTTTGAAATCAACTTCGAGTTTCCTTACTAAAGTCGGGGTCGTGGGGTAGCCTAATGGATAATGCTGAAGACCCGGGTTCGATTCCTCACATGGGTACAATGTGCGAAACCCATTTCTGATGTCCCCCGCCGTGATATTGCTGGAGTATTGCTAAAATCGGCGTAAGTCCATACTCACTTACTCTTACATAGGTCATCGGCATACCATTTCGACATAGCTGGCATTATTTATCAGCTGAACATCGAGGTTCCAGTCCTATTGTGTTTATTAAATATAGATATTATTATTTACATATTACAAACTCTGACGTAGCATAGTGGTTCAAGAGTCTGTTACACAGGGCACCTGGGTTGGATTTCCCCTTCCGTGAATTGTGTGACGCCCATTCCTCATGTCCCCAGCTGTGATCAATTTGTGAGTGAGTGAGAGTAGCTTTACGCCGCTTTTATCAATATTCCAGCAATATCACGTCGGGTGAGATCAGACGTGCTTCCAACACTGTACCCATGTGGGGAATCGAACCCCGATCTTCAGCGTGACAAGCTAAGGTTTTAACAACATGGCTATCCCACCGCCCCCTTAGCATATATTAAATTCTAACTGTGATCTCTTATTTCCTCAGATATTTTATTTGGAACGTTTACGGATTCCGCGTTTATCAAAACTCTAAAATGTTGAGCATCCTCTTGAAGATTTCCGGAAGCACATCTTTTATAGACTTCTAAACATCCATGCCTGAAAACACTTATAGTTTATAGACATTGTGAAATAACACAGTGATGAGTAACTTTCGCTGACATTCTCTCTCCATGTGAGAATGTTTGGAATGTTATGGCACCAGCCATAGTCTCCGTAGGTGATGTCGCATGCTTCCACTGAGTGAGTTTAGTTTTAGGCCGTTTTAGCAATATTCCAGCAATATCACGGCGGGGGACATCAGAAATGGGTTTCGCACATTGTACCCATGTGAGGAATCGAACCCGGGTCTTCCGCGTGGCAAGCGAACGCTTTAACCACTAGGCTACCCCACCACCCCACATGCTTCCCGGGCCCCTGAAAACATGTACAATTGGGAAACAAACATATTAAAACATATTGATCAAATTTATTATGTAAAACCGCCAGTATTACCAACTCAAATTCTATTCAATGTGGGAAAAACATGACACGTATCATGAAATGTGAGCCTATTCATAGGCTGGCTCGAGCTACTGTTATTATTTATTGGCAACTGATTCCTGGGCTCCTAATATAAGAGCATCAATGTATTATTCTCCTGTTGTATTGTTACAGTATAAAACAAATAAACCTATAAATATAACCATTCTAAACAGTCATAAGCTATTGTAAACTCATTGGAAACGCTTTAAGAACATATCTTTAATGTGATAACGAAATTTGTAACGTTTCATTGAAAGTACCTACTCACATAATTACGGATGTTAAAAGAATTTCGTGAAAATTAGCTGTATCGGGAATAGGCGCGGACTTACCCCACATATTCGTACCAGGTAAAACCTAGTCTCGAAAGTGATCATGAGAGTCCGCGAGTTGATTGGAGGAATATTTACTGAAAACGTCGTAAAATCACATCAACCCGCACCAACTGATGCGGGAATGCAATCTCATTCAACCTGTTTGGTAAGTGTAAACCCACATTCGTCACCGATCGCCCCTTTCCGTAACCTCCAAAAGACGGTATTCGGCTTGTCCCGGAATAACACGAGTTGGTTACGAATGGGTAAACTCAGCGCGCGCCTTGCAGTGCTCTACCGCTCGACCGTGATGAGAAGACGGTAGTAATTGAGTACATCCACGTAAGTTATATCCGCATAGCGAGCCGTCAAACAGTTCAGGTGTACAAATAGAGTTGACATTTCTTTCACTGTCTATTGCTAAACTCGTGTACTGCGTTTCCGTTTCGTGGAAAGTCGTACATAATGAAACCAGTTCGTTGAATGATGCATCGATCAATGTTAATGGTGACTCATATATGGAAATTTCCCGATGAAATATTACATTAGGCCTACTGCACGTGAAGCAATTGCTATACATGTATGTAACAATTAACAATCAACTTTAATGTGAGTATAGTTTTATTTTGTGGTGCTCCCATTAAGAATGATCATAATAATATTCACTATTCCATTCAGTAATGGTGCTTCTGTTTACGCGATGACATAATCTGGTGAAAAATAACCAGTGTCATACATAATAATTGCATATCATATGTGCACGTGCACATATAACTTTTGCCGAGCAACCATTGTTTCTATGTTTCGTCGTTTGTGACATCATTAAACAACTGAACGTGACGTCAATGAAGTGGGCCGTCACACTTGCCTACCGTGTTTTAGTGCACAAATGTACATGAAGAAAATGGATAATAAAGAAATTATTACACTCGAGCAAGTGTGTCATGACTTATACGAAACCCGTGCAAAATTATGTATTGCCCGTCACTCGTTTCGTGCACATGTAAGTCTTTTGATACACTTGCTCGTGTAATAATTTCTATGTATTATTCAATTAATTACTGCTGTTCACTTGACTCTTATATGGATATATATAAATGTATATGGATATACAATCTTTAGTGGATAATCATTTAGATTGCTAACTCATACATAGGCGCTGGGTAGTCAAGTGGTTGAAACGTTCGCTCGTCACGACAAAGAACCGGATTCGTTTCCCCACATGGGTACTGCATGTGTGTCCGATTCAGTTGTCCCCTTTCATTGTACAGCAGGGATATTTTTAAAATTTGGGGATATTACATTCACTTATAGAACCGCTGGGGCAGCATTTTTGGAAATCGATCCGTGAAGATCCGGGTTAGAATTGGTCTTCAACAACCCATGCTTGTCGTAAAAGGCGACTAACGGGATCGGGTGGTCAGGTTTAGTCCTGGGTCCTACATTCGTTCACTGATATCCATATACATATAAATAATACGTCCTGGGTCCTACATTCGTTCACTGATATCCATATACATATAAATAATACGTCCTGGGTCCTACATTCGTTCACTGATATCCATATACATATAAAGAAGGTATATGGATAACAGTGAACGAATGTAGGACCCAGGACATATTATTTTCACCAATACAAGCCCCTGTGGGTTGACACATGTCATCGGTTCCCAATTGCGTAGATCGATGCCCATGCTGTTGATCACTTGATTGTCAGTATTTCCACACCGCCGTCATAAAGGATTATTATATAACGTTTATAATTATCATATTTGAGAGTTTAACAGTGCTTTTAACAGTATTACAGTTATATCACGGCTTGTCAACTACATGTTGGAGAAAGCTTAAGGCCGAAAATGACGCGGCTCTCAAACGATAACCGCTTTGGTGAAACCCATGTGCACAAATGCAGCTCAGGTATGGTTCTGAAATCGGAGTGAACCGGTTCTCGAACCAACGATCATAAGATACTGTCACGCCCAAGGGACGCAATTCTGCGACGATGGGCGGCGCGGCTATCGTGTCCGTACAAAACCGGTACAATTGTAATTTTAATGTTAGCCATTAACGTGGCTGCCTGTGAGTTCTATCGAGAAGGTACGCGGGAAGCAAATAATAACTTATCTGGTAAACAGATTCAGCATAACTGTTGTTTTGTTTGTTGTTTAACGCCGCACTTGATCTGCTGTACATTCAGCTATATGGAGTCTGGACAATCCAGTGATCAACAGCATGAGCATCGTTCAATACAATGACATGTGTCAAACAAGTCCGCGAGCATGACCACCCAATCCCGTTAGTGAGTGAGTGAGTGAGTGAGTTTAGTTTTACGCCGCACTCAGCAATATTCCAGCTATATGGCGGCGGTCTGTAAATAATCGAGTCTGGACCAGACAATCCAGGGATCAACAGTATGAGCATCGATCTGCGCAATTGGGAACCGATGACATGTGTCAACCAAGTCAGCGAGCCTGACCACCCGATTCCGTTAGTCGCCTCTTACGACAAGCATAGTCGCCTTTTGTGGCAAGCATGGGTTGTTGAAGACCTATTCTACCCGGATCTTCACGGGTCCCCAATCCCGTTAGTCGCCTCTTACGACAAGCATGTGTTGCTGAAGAGCAATTCTAACCCGGATTTTTACTGATAATATTCAGCATAAATAATCTTTCACGTGTATTATGTTTCCTGTATTAAATTTTGTTTAATCGATTTTACTGGTTAAAACCGAACACCTTTATGACATAGAAACGTGCCATGTCTCCACGTGTTCTACCAATATAGATCGGATGCTTTAAAATAGCATGATATTTGGAAGCTAGAAGGTATTCAGGAGTGATGGGTGGTACCCATATTTATCATCAGCTAATGGATGTTGGACAGTATAATCGCGGCAGTTCACAAATACGATTTCACAAACTCGAGCCATGATAGCCTGAACAGGCTTCCATAGTGTTCAAGGCTGTCGTCACCGGAAAATACACAAAGCTTGTGTTGGTACACCGCTCCCGTCGTATTACGACACACACACATATTGAGCAATAGAGAGACAACATCACCGTGCAGAAGCACCAGGCACTTCTAAACAAGCATCGTCTAGGTATGATCACAGCTGTCCGAGACGCACTCATCTCAGTTCTATTCGTATGGTTCACGTTCTGCCAGGCGGAAGCAGGTAGGTTCTGTACATGTGATGATAATTGGTGATATGAAGATTGAGTCAAGGTGTGTTTTGCCACTCACCCCCCTGTATAATATAGCCGCTGGCGAGGCTGTTATCACTGTTATTGCATTACCACGACCTAGAACGGGTTTGTCCCTTCTAAACTCGCGAGTCTCTGATCTCGCGGGAGGACGGTTTTGCGCTATAAATAGACATAGGTTTGCGATGAGAAGAGCGCGGACGTCTGTATCGTGAAAGTGTCCATACTTCCCCGAAAATATTAGTATGTACAGCGATGATGCTTTTATGATAAATAATACTTGCTACAGAATAGACTAAATTTGAAGAAACAGAACTGAAAACCTTGAGTACCATGAAATGGAGAGTACCTTATGTATGAAGAGCCAGGCGGGCTATAACTCGGTAGCCATGGGCGTTGTTTACGATGTTGCATTACCATGACAAATTTAGCGTCTCTGATTCATCAGGTCGTCATACTTGTTGTGTTGATAGCGTTGCTGAAGCAGTACGCAACATGTGGACAAGTTTACGGATAAATTAATTGTTTCGTATGCTCATATCGCTTACTTCCCAATGCTGTATTAGACGTACACGTATTTCAGTCAGCCAACCTTTTCTCTTAGTGAGTGAGTGAGTTTAGGTTTACGCCGCACTCAGCAATATTCCAGCTATATGGCGGCGGTCTGTAAATAATCGAGTCTGGACCAGACAATCCAGTGATGAACAGCATGAGCATCGATCAGCGCAATTGGAAACCGATGACATGTGTCAACCAAGTCAGCGAGCCTGACCACCCGATCCCGTTAATCGCCTCGTACGACAAGCATGGGTTACTGAAAATCAATGTTCTAACCCGGACCTTCACGGGTCAACCTTTGTCTTAACTGCAGGAGGGTAGTGTGATATTGTTTCTTCGTTTGGTGAAATTGTTAAAGTTTTACGGTTCTTAATTGTTGTTTGTATATTTGTCCAACTATTCTTTCATTTTACGGATCATTATTCTATTTTCTTTTGCAGCGGGTACTGATTGTAACAACTCTACGCTCACTGCTACACGTTCTCGCAAGTATTTTACTTACCCCGGCTATACAGATGGCCATGATAGGTAGGTCTGATCTGTCGCGAATACTATCAATCATACTACAATTGGAATACTGCTTAAAGGCCTTAAAGGCCTGGGTGACCTGATCATCTATGGCGAGACATTTTCCCATGAAGAATTATGTCCCATGGGTAGGCTACACCGAATTTATGGTGTACGGTGAATGTGGGAGGTATCTCCTGTATATAAATGCTCATATTCGATGTATAAAAGCTTAAGATATTGTGTATGCAAGAAAATATATTACCTAAAAAGTCTTATAACATGCTTGTTCATTTGGGCATCTTATGTGAGAAAACTTCTGTTTTCACATGGTTATGGTTTTGTATGGTTAAGTCAGTCAGTTGGTAATGCAAGTTTGTTTTTAACTCAGTTTCGAGAAAGACCTCTTAATATGTTAAACAAAAATAGCATTCAGTAATAGATAATAGTTCACGGTATGACTCTTACAAATATATATATATATATTAGAATATAGAATATACAAATCACTTCTCCAGCCGGTGAAATATCTGTAGTTTTTAACATCAAAGAAATTAAGATATCCATTATATGTTTTAGGTTAGGCTTGACCAACATAATGGTAAACGAACGAAGACGTTTTTATGTTGAACGATGCAAGAGAATGTGGCCTTTGTGTCATTTAGATGTGGAAAATGAAATCCATTTTTTACTTGTATGTCTATTTTATAAAGATTTGCGAACGAAATATATAGCTGATTGTTATGTATGTAAGCCACCTTCATTAGCTTCTTTCATCAACTGACCAGCAAGTAATAATAAAGCTATCGTACTATATCAATTATGCTCTTATTAAACGTAATAATCTGATATAAAGTTTTGTAGATCCATCGTGTTTCACTACTTGTACGTAATTTACTGCATGTAAGATGATTTGCTGTTTTTTATCACTAATTACTACTTATTGCACCATATGTATAATGTTTATATGTATAACCCCAATGTATATGGGCCGGAGGCCTTTTGTACAATAAACAATAAACAAAGTCTTTGACTTTGACTTTGGCTAGGAACCACTGATTGTGAGTTCGAATCCTTGTCAGCAACAAATGTGTCCGTGGAGTTCACCAAAGTGGTAATTAAGGTCCGCCGTGTAGTGGTTAAAGCGTCCGCCCGGAGAGCGGAAGGTCGCGGGTTCGATCCCCGACCGCGCCATACCAGAAGACGTTAAAATATGGTACTTTTGGTCCCTGCCTGGCGCTCGGCATTAATGGGTACAACAAGGACTGGTCGGCTCGGAGTCAGTATAATGTGTCTGAGTGGGGTATTCATGCTTCACTGCGCCATGGTATCTCAGTGGGCTCGCACTATAAAACAAGCTTTAGTCTGGGCTGGAACAAGTAGCTGCACATACACATACACACGCTTGCACGTCGTCATATGAGCGAAATATTCTCAAGCACGACGTAAAACCCAATTTCACCTCGCCTGACCTCACCTCAACAAAGTGGTAAACATCCGATATATGCCTCATGTCGGTGTTTCTTCTAACATACACGCGACATGTATGTATTGTGATAAAAGCGTTAAAGTAAAGTCTCTCTGTCACTGAATCAAATCTACAGGAAACTACTGATGGCACACATCACAAATTAAATTATTTATGATAAATGATGATGTAACAATTACTGTTTAAAATATGTAACGCTATGAATTTATGATTCAATTTAAATTTTCTCCACAGGAACATTGCATGTAGGTGGACTATTACAGCATTTCCAGGTGAAACCGTCCAAGTTCGGATCGTAGGCTCAGATTTGGAAAAGCGCGTTTGTCTACGTTGTAGACCCGGGGATCTCATTGAAGTGACAGATGGTAAGCCCTTTACTACGGAACCCTTCAAGGGCCATTCATTTTTATATTTTTTTCTATGTTGCTGTGTTGAAATTTCAAGATGCTAAGTTGAATTTTCATGATGCTTATAAAGTAGACATTTCAAGACAATGATCTAGAAATTTCAAAATAAGAATTTCAATTTCAAGACAATACTTTGATATTTCAAGAAAAAACCCGAATGGCCCTAACAGGCTTCCGTTCTTTACTGTTAAAATGATATTGTTAAGGAAACGTTTCATCACATGTGTACTATACATCTCAACTAAAAAAGTTGTAAAATGATGCCTCAGACTTGGCATCATGCCCACTCCATTTAAATCAGCGATAGTGAAACCTCTTCTGAAGAAATCAAATCTGGATCCAGATGAACTCAAGAATTATCGTCCTGTATCCAACCTTACCTTCATGTCCAAGGTGATAGAGAGAGCAGTGGGAGACAGGTTATCTCAGCATCTGATGCATCATGACCTCTACGAGCCATATCAGTCGGCTTACCGTAAGGACCACAGTACTGAGACAGCTCTTGTCCGTGTGTTTAATGACTTGAGATTCAGTGTTGACAATAACATGACTTCTTTACTGGTCCTCCTCGACCTCAGCGCCGCATTCGACACCATTGATCATAGCAGGCTTCTGTCTCGCCTCAGGAATAACTTTGGTATTGATGGGATAGTCCTGGATTGGTTCCCATCTTATTTGACAAATCGTCATCAGGTTTTATTCATTGATGGTTGCTCTTCTGACAACGTTCATCTCCAATGTGGTGTTCCTCAGGGATCTGTATTGGGACCGGTCCTTTTCACACTATACACAAAGGATCTCGGGACTCTAATTGACCAGTTTCAAGTCTCGCGACAGTTGTATGCCGATGACACCCAGCTTCATAACAGTTTCAAACCAAATCCAACTGACGTGCATTCTGCAACAGACCACATGGCAGAGTGTTGTGACCAGATCAAGTCATGGATGTTCACCAACAAGCTGAAGCTAAATGAGGACAAGACAGAGTGTCTTCTGGTAGGGACAACACCTCGCCGAGAACAGACCAACATCAAGTCGTTTCACTTTGGCGAAACCACTGTTCCACTATCTAACAGTGTTAAGGACCTTGGCGTGACTGTTGATCCTGAGCTGTCATTGGACCAGCACATTACCATCTTGTGCAGGACATGCTTCCTACCTCCGAAACATTGGAAACATTCGAAAGCTTTACAAAGGAGTCAGCTAAAATCCTATTCCTCTCATTGGTGATGACAAGACTAGATTACTGCAACAGCCTCTTTGCTGGTGCAACAAAATCCCAGATTGGTAGACTGCAACGGGTTCAGAACACAGCAGCAAGAATAGTCACTCTTCACCCAAGTCAGCTCACATCACCCCTGTGTTGAAGGACTTCACTGGTTGCCCATTCCACAGCGCATCACTTTTAAACTCTGCATTCTCGCCTTCAGATGTCTCTCTGAAGTGCACCTCAATATCTGTCCGACCTCCTTTCTCCATACAAACCAACAAGATCCCTCCGCTCCGAGAAACATAATCTTCTGTGTATTCCTAAAGTCAGAACAGTTAAATTTGGTCAAAGAACTTTCTTATGCTGCAGCCTCAGAATGGAATCATCTCCCACAACATTTGAGAGAAATGACAGAACTTTCAACCTTTCGAACATCGCTAAAGACCCACCTTTCCAAAAAGCTTTTTCAAATCAGCCTTTTGCATTGTCCTGATAAATGAACTATCAGATCGCATTTGAGTATATCCCTAAATATAATTAAGATATTTTTCTTATGTAATGAACATGGAATGTATAGAATAAAAAAAAAAATTATAAATAAAAGCTTTATAACCCGGGTCCGATGCAATGTGTGAAGCCCATTATATTGCATTAAAAGCGGCGTACAACTAAACTCCCTCACTGTAGTTGTTTTTTCGCTCAGTGTATATGAATGCAATATATTCACTCATAAACTCTCCTTTCATAGTTTCATCATATGTATGATGCCTTTCACAGTATTCTTGGTGTCACTCAGTTGTTTATGGTCAGCATGTGTTGGTTTCTACATACGGTGTTGTCTTGAAGACTCAACGTCGTCTTTGACGTCGCTCAGCTATGCCTCAACGACTTGGTAATAAGTAACCCAGTGCATGCAGACAAGTAGTTAAAGACCCATGCTTGTCGTAAGAGGTGACTAACGGGATCGTGTGGTCAGGCTCGCTGACTTAGTTGACATGTGTCATCGTATCCCAATTGCGTAGATCGATGCTCATGGTATCGATCACTGGATTGTCTGATCCACACTCGATTATGTTTAGAGATCGCCGCCATAAAGCATGGATATTGCTGCGTGCGGCAAACCAACCAACCAGTATCTTTACATGAACGCAGTCTCAGCTGCGCCCCCTACCCGCACCAGGACTTCCCGTTATCTTTTAGTTTGAGGATTTTAGATTGGTGGGAAGTAACTGTAAATAGTTCCAGGTTTGGATAGCTTTGATAATATGAGTAGTTCGTGATATAACCCCTTGGTCCAGATGTTAGTGGTTGTTCTGCATCCCCTGCGTCCCATCCTTATCACGAGAGGAGAGGCGGCAAAGAGGACCGCTTGGGTTTTGTCACACTCGGTGGGTTGCTTGCCATCGTACACCGACTGGATGTGACCTCCAGTCACTGGTTTGTCTGGACCAGATGCGAATATTTCGAAGCCGCTATGATATTGCTTGTTATTTGCGCCGTTCAGACAACAAATAGGCGTAGCATCGGCGAAAGAACAAACACTGCCTTTGATCTCTCCTTGTGAGGCGCTTGGTAGATTCGGTATCGACTTCAATGTTTTAATGTGTAACACAGTGTACTGTCGAAATAAGTCATACGGTTTATGATCATACCTAGAAGGCGTGGGTTGTTGTTCACACTGTGTTGTATGGTAGAGGCCGCTGGTATACAGCTGGAATATTGCGGCGTTAAACAGAAGAGTGAGTGAGTGAGTTTAGTTTTACGCCGCATTTAGCAATATTCCAGCAATATGACGGCGGGGGACACCAGAAATGGGCTTCACACATTGTACCCATGTGGGGAATCGAACCCGGGTCTTCGGCGTGACGAGTGAACGCTTTGACCACTAGGCTACCCCACCGCCTGTTAAACAGAAGAACAGCTTTTCAAAGATTTTGGTTTGGTATCGTTGTTGTTTAACGCCGCACTCAGCAATAGGCTGACCAACCTATCCCGCTAGTGGCCTCTTACGACGAGCATGCGTTGCTGAGAACCAGTTCTAACTCGGATCTTCACAGCACAGGCCCTAAAGATGTTAAGAAAAATATAAAAAAGAAACAATTGAGATGACCCCCGACTCGAAATGCTTCACAGTACAATACATTATGACATATCGTATCGGGGGTCATCTCAATTTTTTTTTTAATCTTCGCAAGGACACGAGGGCCTGTGGTTCACAGGTCGTTTTTCAAAGATGTAACCTAGTTTGTTTTGTTTTATAGGCACCAGCGTCTGGCCTACTGACAAGTTAGGGTTGTTTGCAACACACAGCAACTCCAGAATTATCAGCAGAAGAAATTCTCTCACCATTTCACTCAGACCCCGTGCCGATGGAACTGGAGGAGATGGATTCAAAGTCCAGTACAGCTCGGGTAGGATATAGGACTGTTTACTTAATTCTACATATTGTTACATGTTTACAAAAGTGGGACCAGATTCTATAATTGTACACATACGTTTTTGCTAAAGTTACAATTGTCTGAGAGTGGTGCTGGGTGGCCTATAGTGGTTAAGCGTTCGATCACGCCGACGGCCGGGTTCAGATCCCAAAATGGTTATGCCAGTATTTGCAACGGAGAACCCTTCACCTTCACTCGCCACTATCTCACCACTCACTCATGTACTTGTGTATTATTTATGTTTCCGACACGCACACGCTCTCACACACACGCGAGGTACAATGTGTAAAGTCTATTTCAAGTGTCTGGTGATAATGCTGCAGTAATACTGCTGGAGTAATGCTATAACGGTAAACGGTGAAACTAAAAACTCACTTACTCACTCATTGTTATTGGTGTGAGGTTGTTGATGTTGAATACAAGCCAAGTAAACTATAGTTATCTTTGTAATATTCCGAACATGTGACATTTTATTCACTGACATTCACAGGTGTATTTTACGACAACACGTTTCCTGTAGTGGAGTTAGAGGCAGGGACCGAGAGTCAAGTCTTTGAGCCTCCAGCCCTTCCGCCATACTACCCAAAGTAAGTATCACTACATGCACAGTTGGTGCTAAGACACGTACAATGTGCGAGGTGCCGACTATATATTGTTTTGTCTTTATAGGGAATGCTCATCTTCGAAAGAGATGATTAGATGAATTTATTACCTACGAGGGCGAACATATCGGGGTTCAAATTTCTCATACGATGCCCTAGGGAAAACTATCACTTTGTTTTGGTGACGTGACGTCATGACCAATGCTATATCGTCACGTTTCTTCACGTTTCACACATAATACCCATGTGGTGAATCGAACCCGGGACTTCGGCGTGACGAGCGAACGCTTTAACCACTAAGCTCCCCCACCGCCATCATGAATGGTGTGTGTATGCGAGGTATCAAATTAAAATAACCACCTCTGATTGAATATACCTATTTAGCAGCGGAAGTTAATATATTTATCCAAAAGTTTTTATCTTTCTCAGTCATTATAGGATGGAAAATGCAGATTTGTTGATTTCACTAAAACATTAAAAGTACGTGTGACAATAAATTTCGACCGAAGTGATTTAAACCCTCAGTTTTATACTATTCAAAAACAGAAATTCCAAATTCTTGGTGGAATATATTGGTTTTAGTACTCACGATACTTTATTGCTATCAAGAAGTCCTATATCTTACAAAACCATAAACCTACCAGTTGCATTAATATGCATTCACTTTGTATACTTCTATTTTATGTCGATAAATAAGTCAAGAACCATATAGCCACTGCTAGATCTTACTGATGAACTGACCGCCTCCGTGGTGTAGTGGTTAGAGCGTCCGCCCGGAGAGCGGAAGGTCGCGGGTTCGATCCCCGACCACGTCATACCAAAAGACGTTAAAATATGGTACTTGTTGGTCCCTGCCTGGCGCTCGGCATTAATGGGTACAACAAGGACTGGTCGGCTCGGAGTCAGTATAATGTGTCTGAGTGGGGTATTCATGCTTCACTGCGGCATGGTATCTCAGTGGGCTAGCACTATAAAACCAGCCGCACATACACATACACACGCATGCACATCGTCATATGAGCGAAATATTCTCCAGCGCGACGTTAAACACCATTTCACCTCACCTCCTGATGAACTGTATTATGTGTCTTAGGGGGTGGTTGGGAAACACTAGTGGTTAAAGCGTCACGGCGATGAGCTGGTTTGATATTGGCACAATGTCTTTAATCCATGTGTCCCCGCAGTGAAATGGTTGGATAAGTGTTGAAAGTGGCAGTAAACTGTCCTTCTCAAGTCTCCTCAGTGAATACTAGTACCATATCACTTGTCTGTCATTGAGGTACCTGTAGATGTACCTGCACATTTCATCACTACAAGCTGCATGCATATCATATATAGGATAAACATTTACTGATGGAATTTCAAGGAAGGGAACATGTATTTGAAACCGAGTAAACAATATAGCAAATCTTTTCCCAAGAGTCAACTTGATAAATGAAATTATTTCTTTGTTTGAAATTACGTACCACGGGGCAATCAATGGCAAACATAAAAAAGCGATTTGGAAAAACAAATTAAAACATAGTACACGACCGCAAAAGACAAAAATTCAAAATCGAATTCTTGATTCCCTAAAGGTAAAGGTTAAGATCCGAACAGAAGTGAAATGAAAGTGGGACAAGACAAAATGTTGCTTAAATTGAAATAAACTTTTCCAAAGTGATAAATGATTTTTTTTCAAAATACAACCAAAGACACCCGCTGGTTTTGGTGTCTTAGGTTTGATACCTCTCAATCTGATGACTGACATAGCGAAAAACCTGGGTTTGCTGCCATTCCTTCTGACTCTCAGATTATTGCAAAAGACTGCAATGCTGGGGTGTCTTCACATTCTCCGAAAAGTGGTAGGTTCTACAAGGCAATCTGGACTTGCAGTGCCGAACCAGCCTGGCTGTTCAGTGATCACCGAAACCTCTTTGCCTCAATTATTTCTTTTAATCTGTAAATAATAATCATGATATTTTCTTGTATCACATGATCGAAGTGCTGATGATAATGGCTTGACTGTTGCAGTCGTTTCGAGATGGGATGGAGGATAAAGACGACGTCACCAAACGGGAGGCTGCGTATCAGGGTCCTTTCCTCTTCTCTTACTCGCGAATGTTCAAGTAACTACATGGAAGCATCAGACGGTTAGTTCTACTTCATTTTGGTTTAAAAACAACGATTTGTACCCGTATATGATTAGTTTACTGTCGTCGCCTCTGAAAGTACACGCTTCGGACATCTCCTTGAAAAAGGTGTAAAAAAATGGAATAAATATTATCAATAATTTTTACAATGAATTTGAAAATACTAAAATTATATATTTCCTTGTTTTATTTGGATAATGTGTCAAGTTGGTAAAATGCTAGAAAACAAAACATTTGAAATGTCCAGCTCTCATACCGGTTTCAAATATATTTTGTTCTTCAAATTCTAGTCATAAGCTTTCATTTAATCACACACTGATGTCCGATTGAATTCCAATATTTACCTGCTATTTGAATGACAAACATCAAGGTTCGTATGTACAGGTTACAGTGACAACTTCCGCTCGCTTGGGAGGTGGTGTAAACAGGAGACGCCGGAAAAGCTTGCTACTGGTAGCTACATGTTCATTCTCTTAACCTGCAACAGCCCTATTGGGGTAGGGTTTGGCTTCTCTATTGAATACGGGACTTATGTGGAAGCTACAACCCCTGCAAGTGATGGTAAGAATGGAGAGTGTTGGTTTGGTATTTGTTTGTTTGTTTGTTTGTTTGTTTATTCTTTAACGCAACACTCAGCTATGTGGCGGCGGTCTGTAAATAATCGAGTCTGGACCAGACAGTCCAGTGATCAGCAGCATGAGCATCGATCGCCGCAGTTGGGATACGATGACGTGTGAACTATGGCAAGCAGTCGCTCTTATGACGTGCATGCGTGTGTTTGTGTGGCTGCTTGTACTAGCCGAGAGGTTTTCATAGTGCCAGCTCACTGAGATGCCATGCCACAGTTAAGCATGTATACCCCACTCAGACACATTATACTGCCTCCGAGCCGACCAGTCCTTGTTGTACCCATAAATACCGAGCGCCAGGCAGGGACCAACAAGTACCATATTTTAACGTCTCCGGACGGACGCTCTAGCCACTATATACAGTAGTTGGCCATAAGTGAGTCATCATTAGTAAAATTCCCATATACATGTATTTGCATGTTAATTAACTCTTACAAGAATAATTTTCATAAATTTACTTTCGGTCGAATTGCTTTCAATACGTATCTACCAGCTGAGAAATCATCTCAGCTACATACACATAGTTTCCATTTAGTTTTACGATGCTTATTAAGAAAATGGCAACTATTTAAACCACATGTATTACACATACCAATCAGGTTTTAACATGGCTGTCTATGGGAAGGATTAAAATTTGTAATTATATGTGGTGCTTAATCAGGTGTCATTCGATAAATAATCAACGGAAAGAAGAAAGAAAATTGTGTACACGTAGCTGAAGATGATTTCCAAGATGTTTTCGAACTATCAGATTGTAATGACTTCAACTCAATTTATGAAAAGTATTCTTGCAACTGTAAATTAGCACGTAAGTCTTTGGAAATTTCACTAATGATGACTCACTTATGGCAACTTCTGTACAACATGGAGGCGGTCGGCATGATGTACTTGTTGATGCAAATTTGATGGCTGCATAAAACAACAGTCACTCGCACTATTAGTCTGGATAATGCTTACCACGGTTTTACTGTTATGTACAATACACGGAACTGTATGTCATAACGTCATGTATTTTACATTGCAGTATCAGAAGGAGGCGGTGTATCAATCGATGTCATAGCAGGTACATTTACAGGAGTCATTGCATTTGTGGCCGTGACATTCCTAGTATCTAGAATAATATGTGACAGGATGAAAATGAGAGACCTAGATTCTGTGCACGAAGAGGAAGGCCTCTCCTTGGAAGACCCCCACGGACAAATACCAAGCACCGTGATGGCACCATCAGCACCCATGATGCCGAACACTAACCCCACCGTCGACCCGTCGGTGCCGCCACCAACGTACGATGACGTGATGATGAATAATACACTATATAACCCCGTTAAGAGAACATGACGACAGCACATGTTGCAGTGACATTCAAATTATGTTGTAAAGAGTCATTCCAGACATTGGTTGATATTGCAAGCAATGATCGACTCCAGCAGAGAAGAAGACTGTTTTCGTAATCAAAGTGCAATATTCTAGGGCCTAGATTTCCGAGCTCTCTTAGCGCTATGATAGTCGTAAGTTAATGTTTATGTATGGCACTTACGACTATCAGCGCTAAGAGAGCTTCGAAAATCTGGGCCCAGTTGTGTTACTGCGGCCGGGGGATATTATCGCCTCTTACGGCCAGTAAAGGTTAACTGGAACCGAATTTAACCAGGAATTACAAGTATGGCATGGATGCTTGTAGGTGAAGGCTATATTACTAAATCCTCAATACTCTAGTAATGTTACTGCAGCCAGTGATATAATCTATCCTATATAATCGGTCAGGCCAACCAATAGTTTACAGCCATGACACACAATGTCGGGCCCGGTCACCATCTGTCAGGTCAGACATTGTGACCATCTGATTCCCATTCGCCGTCTCAAACGACGAGAATTATCTCATTGAACAATTCTTTAACGGGATCACTAAAGAATGAATAGAAGAAACAAAAGAAATATCTTTCGATGTTGTTGTTCTTGTAGCAGACTTGTTTTGTGACTCTTATCCTTAGCGGAAAATGGGACTTTATTTATTGATAACCTGATCATGCAAGTGATATATTTTGTCATGTGGATATGCTGTCTAAGCTTACCACCTATGTGTTTTATATTTTATTTGCAATAAAACTGTTTATTATTTAAGAACAGATTTGATCTTTTTTCTTCGTCAACCCCTCCTCTCCCAATGGCAAAGTATGGAGTTACTGAACGGCTGATTGGAATTAACTCAAACATATTAATATAAATATGTTAATATATTCATAGAAGTAAATTTTATCCAAGCTAAATATATTAGTAGTACGGCTAACACCTTAACACCCATGCTAAGTTCTTTAATCTTTCCTTACAGCAAATTATATTTCCGTCCTTGTGTAAGAAAGCGAATGTAATTCCTCACCATAAGAAAGAAGGCATAAATGAATGCTCTAACTACAGACCCGTGGCCTTACGAGTTATTTATCTAAAATATTTGAAAAATGTGTATTCAAGCACGTTTTTTAATCACCTTAGAGACAACAATTTACTCTCCAATCTTCAGTCCGTATTCATTCCGAGCGACTCTTGTGCCAACCAAGTTATACATACTTGTATAACTTTATCGCTAAAGGCCTAGATGAAGGTAAGGAGATAAGAGCAGTTTAGTAAGGTGATATTAAGGCGTTTGACAAAGTCTGGCATAAGGTAATTATCCGAAAGCTTCAGGCAAATGGAATTAAAGGAAATTTACTAAAATGGTTTGAAAGTTGTTTACAAAATAGAGTACAAAAGGTTGTTATTAATGGTTTCAGTTCCAAATTAAGACCCGTAATGGCTGGTGTTCCACAGGGTTCAGTTTTAGGACCACTACTTGACATAGTCGATGGGATTAACAGTAGAATCAGACTTTCGCTGATGATACGCCAATTTATGTTATCGTAGACGATCCATTTGAAGCAGCTAACTGCTTAAATGACGATTTAGAAAAGATATCCAATTGGGCAAATACGTGGCAAGTTACTTTTAATCCATCAAAAACAGAAACTATGTAGTTCACGCGCAGAAATGTTCTCAACTCTAAACCGAACTTATTTATGAATGGGATTGCTATTCAAGATGTTGGAAGTCATAAAAACCTTGGAATAACACTGCAAAACAACTGCACATTCACAACATTATTACAAATGTTAGTCCCATGATAAATTGTCTTAAAAGTTTCAAATATCGCTTGTCTAGGAAAACACAAGTGACCATGTACAAATCCTATATTCTTCCTTCTTTTGATTACTACTCTCATATTTGGGACAACTGTACAGACCAGCACGCTCTTACTTTAGAAAAACTACATCTAGATGCCCTTAGAACAATATGTGGTGCTGTCCGTGGAACAAGCCATCAAAAGATTTATCGCGAAACGCCGTTCACTTCATTGAGTGAAAGGCGAAAATACTATAAATTGCTAACATTTTATAAAATGTATCATCATTTATTACCGGGGAAAATAGTCGTTATCCTTTACTTGGTGGCACTAATTTGAGAAGCATTTACTGCAGAACAACAAGATGTGTCAAATCAGTAATGTTCACTTTGATGTATATTATGGTAGTAGAAACTGTCAAATAACTCACAGTCGACTGAGACTAGGATGCAGTGATCTTAACTGGGACAAATTGCAAAGATTTATATCAGAAAACCCGGTCTGCCCTTGTGAACACCAAATGGAGAATTCATATAATTATTTCTTTACTTGTACTAAATATAATGAAATCAGAAAAAATGATTTCTTTTACATCCACGGATATGATCTAGAAACTATCTTATGTGGTAACGTGTTTTTAAGCAATAATGTTGAAATGGATATATTAATATCTGTTCATCATTTCATAACTAAAAGCAATCGATTTGTAAATATTTAGGCAAGTTTCGTAAGATTATGACAGCAAAATCTAAAAAGCTAGAACTCTTGTATGCCTGTACGTTTACTTGTCTTCATTGCAGCACGTATCATCATATTGTTAATTGCATCTTTGCTTCATTTACGTATGAACACATGCTATATTAATCTATGAACACATGAATTGCCAATTATTTTCGTTTACTTGTAACCATCACGATTTTGTAATTGTTATGTTGCTGGGGCGGTATTTATATAAGCATAAAATGCTTGTTTACCAACCGAGGTTTCTGAAAATAAATATGTTTAAACCAAACCAAATGAGATCAGCATAGGGCGGAGCAAAATAATCACAGCACAACACAATAGCAAAAACACATCAACATCAGCAAACAATTAATGCCAAAACTCACCACACCTTCACCACCAATATAGACCCCAAGTAGACTGAACCTATTGCTTTTCACAAAAAATGTATTTCTTACAAAACATGTAGGGCGGACCGAGTCGTGGATCTCAAAGATATTTAAGTTTGTTTTGTATGGCGACACTCAACACTGTGTCAACATTTCACAATACCCGGTTGGAAACCACTGAGGCGTTCAGTGACACAGCAAACTTGATGTCCGCATTAAGCAACGTGTCGTCAGATTGTAGGGCGCTTATGATGCACGATTGGCCATCAGGATCAGTGTGCTGTCAGTCAGGATAAGAGAGGGAGTTTGTAGTTAGCATGTCTCCAGAGAAACGTATGATAGGAGAAGTGTACCTACTTCTTGTTGTGTCAGGTAGGTCTCTTTGTCAACCATTACTCTGCATTATTCATTCCATTGATGTTTCCGATACTCGCGTTATTGTTCAGTGATAATCATGTCCAACTTCCTTGTTGATCAACGTTGACAGAATCTTGTGTATGGACTAGTAATACCTAATGTTCTTATGAATGACCTTAGAATGTTACGTGGTTTGTTAAACTGGTTTTGGTTTCGTAATTGCTATGCTCTTTATAGCAGCTATTTGTAAGCGCTTGTGTCAGTGAGTATACGTTTCGTGATAACTTGTTTCAAGCATGATAATATCTACAGCGTGGCTTACAGGCCTCACGCTTGAGTTACCCCCACAAAGCTGTCATTTGGTATGTATATGCCCTACTTCCGGGTAACCGCTGTTAAGAAAATCACGTACACAAAATCATGTATATTGAACACATAAATCAAGTACTATTTGTCTTGGAAATTTCCGTTACCCCCATATATCCCTTATTTCGTATATAGATACTTACTTCCGGGTAACCTCCGTTAACAAAGTGATGTATATTGATTCGGTTCACCAAATGTGTGAAGCCCATTTCTGGTGTCTCCCGTAGTTATATTGCTGGGTTATTGCTAAAAAGCGGCGTAAAACTTCACTCACCCACTCTCTCACGCACTGTTGTTTACATATTTCAGGTATGGTACAAACCCAACAATGCAGGAACGACTCCCGGATCGTCGCCATCACCACGGTTAGAAAACTGACCTCACCGCATGTATTCTACAACAACCAATTGTAGGTAGAGTCAGCTTTAGAACCGCACCAACACCCCCGTATAGGAAGCCCATCTATGATCTCCTGCCCAATTAAGTCTCGGTCTAGATGTTGTTGATACGGACATACTGTCTAGTGAAACATTCGCTCTTTCTGTTGGGTCATTAACTTCAAGATTGATATGGATAATAGAATGTTTCTAAGATGAAAAGTGTTTTCGGATTAAAAGGACACATGCTGGAACAGCCATTTCGTCTGGGTCTAGTACCTCTTCAAGTACGTAGTATAAATGTATAAAAGTAAATGACTTGGCATGCCACTGTTTAGGCGTATGTACAGACCCTTCAGTAAAGTGAGTTTAATTTTACGCTTCTTTTAGCAATATTCCAGCAATATGACTGGCGGACACCAGATCGTCGTTTACAAACTGTGATACCTCTGAAGAATTGGTCTCATCAACCCATGTTTATTGTAAGAGGCAACTGACGAGAACGGGTGTTTAGGATCGTTGACCTGGTTGATGCATGTCATTGCATTTAAATTACGTAGAGCGATGGTCATGATGCCAATCACTGGATGGCCTGGTCCAGACTCGATTGTTTACAGAAAGCTATCATTATAGCTTGAATATTACTAATTGTGGCGTTAAACAAACCATCAAACAAACAAACTTTTAAATGTCCTATTTTCTTCACAGATGTGTACACATAAAGAGCCTAGTCTTCTTCCGCGTTAGTGCACTTTGGAATCATAGCCCAAGCGTTCCTTTACTTGAACTGGCTTTACATCTATTTTGTTTGATGAAGAAAGCAATCTTTTCAGCCTAACGTGTGTACATATCTCGAACACAGTTCGGCAGGTGTTTAGTTTAAAGGGGGTAGCCTAGTGGTTAGAGCGTTGGCTCGTCACGCCGAAGACCCGGGTTCGAATCCCAACATGGGTACAATGTGTGAAGCCCATTTCTGGTGTCTCCCGCCGTGATGTTGCTGGAATATTGCTAAAAGCGGCGTAAAACCAAATTCAGTCAGTCATTTAGTTTTATGAAATACACACCCTGGCCAAATACACGCTGTCATCCAGGATTGAAGTATAAAAAAAGAGTTATGTTTTGCCTCTTTAATGACATGTACTGCGTCCTGCGCAGAACTGGTCTTGAGCATTCTACGATTGTCATAAAGCGAGACTAACGGGATCATGTGGTCAGACTCGCCGACTCAAACTGAACATGGCGTTAATCACTGGCTTGTCTGACTCGATTATTCACAGGCGTAGTTGAAATGCGTTACACAAATAGACTGTTTGTTGGTTTGCTGTGTAACACTGCATTCAGCAATATTCCAGCTATATAACGGCGGTCTTTAAATAATCGAGTCTGGACCAGACAATCTAGTGATCAACAGCATAAACATCGTTACATAGAAGTTTTGCAGTTACCATTCACATACTTTTGAAATGGAGGCGGTGAGGAGCCTAATGGTTAAGGCGTTCGCTCGTCAGGTCAAAAGCACGGGCAAACTGAAACATGAGTCTCATTGACCTATTCAGACAATGACTTACATTTCAGCCGATCCGAATCTTCTCGTGTGAAAGTGAAAATAGACACCACAAACAACTATGGTTACCTTGAATTCCAATGCCTTGTTACATAAGGAAAATAGTATTTAAACAAAATTCTAATTTTAAACTTTAATAACATCGTATTTCTATATATTATGGCGAGGTGTAGGCAGCATGACCTTAACTAGGACGTCACAGACTGCCCCTGTTTGATGAGGTCGTAAAATGATTCACAATTCAACTGGCTCCCTGGTTACACCTGTTATGTGTGTTTTGCGCTTATTCAGTGTAGTTCTGTTACGCACAATGTTATTGACATGATATCAAGTCCGTACCAGATCGCCAAACTTTTCTAGCGGGAGAGCCTCGTTTTGAGATTTCCACGATTTCCAGGTGTCCGTTTGTCAGAGCTCGCTGTACGACAGAGCACGCTGCACGACGTGTTTGCAAGGATTAGAAGGAGCATAGTGTTGCAATATACAAGTGCTTAGATGTATCAAATAATACTGACGAATAATTATGTATCCAGTTAAATGAATTGTTCTAAAAATTCTGGACTGATTATTGCACTGAGTTGCGCAATAGGACGGGACTCAGTTAACAGGAAACGAGACTGTTGTGTAATCAATGTTTTGACTTGTCAATTTCCCACATGGGTACAATGTGTGAAGCCTATGTCCCCCGCCGTGGTATTGCTGGAATATTGCTAAAAGCGGCGTAAAACCATACTCACCCACTTATGAAATGATCCTTTGCAAGAAAGTAACATTGTTCTGGTTTCAGCGATGTGTCGTGTTGGTGGAGAATAACTGCATCTAACCGAGACGGAACTATTTGTATTATTGTTCAGTTCCCAAAGATGAACAGCATCCGAAACTGTATGATGACATACGTGGATGTCCACGACGGTAAGTGTAGACCAACACCTCTTAATTGCAATGCGATTAATTAACCTTGTTATTTATCCACATTGTTTATCGGCCATTCCAACTCAATGGCCGAAATACAAAGGGGACTCAGTGTTTGTTCGTAAACACCGACAGTAGTACTAACTTGGCCTTTTATATCAGTATATTTACGGTGAAGGAGGTTGTCTCCAATACGATTTGGTAAATTGCAAATAGTTCGCATTCCAGTGATTATAAATTATGTCACTTCTGTGACTTTATTGCAAGATTATGTTATTTTTGTAAGAGGCAATGGAATAGCCAAGTGGTTGAGCGTTCTCGGGTCATGACTAAAACCCCGAATGCCCCACATGGGTACAAAGTGTGAAGCCCATTTCTGGTAACTTCTTTTACTGTCATGTTTAGAAGCTGGAGAATCAGATAAGGACAAAAGTTTATGGATGAACAACTTCTTTATTCGGATGATGCAACGTTTCGATACAGATTCTTGTATCGTTGTCAAGCAACTTGCTTAATGGCTGCCTGACCAACATGTTTGCATTGCAGGGTTTGACATTGACGCAAAAAATACTTGGGAGGTGGTGTGATATGGACTCTTCACTGCTTACAACTTCTCGCAACCAAGCCTTCATCATCTCCAAGACTCAATACGTAGTCCAGTTCAAGTTCGATATTTGGTATGGCACAAAAAACTTTTCCCTAGATCAGATGAGCGATGTGTCTACAGGAGTTGATGCGGGTATGTATGCCGGTGCGCATTTATAGTTAAACAAGGAAGGCATCAAACTATTTTCATACTTGTTCCTGTAACTTTCAGACTGCCATTAAACATGATATGAGTACAACGTTCTCTCATGACACTATCTCTCAAGGCGCCTCAACCGATGCACGTAGTCAGTCAACAGTCAAAGGTTCGAATCCAAGATTAGCCCTGATAGGATTCTGTTGTCAGAACCACCCATGCATCTTTCACCCGAATGTAAACATATATATATTTCTTCTATTTTAATATCTTACGTTTCTTAATGACATTACATATAATGTTGATGAATGTATTTAACTTGACGTTGTTTTGACATTATTATATATATGAATATTATTTATTTTTAATGCTTAGATGCTACATTTTTCAGCACCTTCGATGTCAACAGGTGTTAAAATAGGAATAGGCGTTTCCGTGATGATGGCACTGGTTTTACTTTCTGTGGTGGCAAGGTACCTTATCCGTAAATCGTTCTTGGATCACTCCGAAAACACAAGACGACAAACGCCATCAGTTTCATCAGGCGCCGAAAGTAACCCCCCTGATTACTGGTCAGTGGTTGTGTCTCCGTCAAGGGAGACCGTCGCCGTTCATGTCGCAGGAAATGAGCCACCTGCCTACTGGGATGTCGTGACAGTAAGTGACGGGAATAACGGTTTACCATTGCACGAAAACCAAAGTGTTCTATCAGTGCAAGAGGAAAACCGTGCAATATCAGTGCAAGAGAACCACAGTGCAATATCAATGCAAGAGGACCAAAGTGGAATATTTCAACAGAATCATAATGTAATACCAAATGAGGTCTGTGGTGAAATAGCATTATCAGAAGATCATAGTGTCACAGCATTGACAGAGGATCATAGTGTCACAGCATTGTCACAGGACCATAATGATACAACATTGTCACAGGGCCATAGGGAAACAACATTGTCACAGGACCATATGGAAACGGTTTTGCCTCAGGACCAAAGTGAAGCAGCATTTTCACAGATCAAGAGAAAAACAGTATTTCCTCAGGACTATTCATAGTGAAACACCATTGTCCGAGGACCATAGTGAAACACCATTGTCCGAGGACCATAGTGAAAGAGCTTTGCCGAGCCCACCAAGGAAAACCCGACTTAGTGACACACCAGCACATTGCAGGATAAGTGAAATGAGAAACTGACAAACATTCCATATTACGCAAGGCCAAAGTCGATATTTAGAGTACAAATTGGTCGCATCCAGATTCACGTACAAAGACAAAAAGACATATTTTATCGATACTATACAAAGTCAGCTTACGAGCAACGATATCTAGGCGATGATATAGCAATTATTTACAAGCAACGTCACTATCACACATGACATAGGGTGACAACAATACTTTTTCCCCTTAGGGGCGATGGGGTAGCCTAATGGCTAAAGCGTTCGCTTGTCATGCCAAAAGCCCGGGTTCAATTTCCCACATGGGTACAATGTGTGAAGATTTATTCTGGTGTCCCCCGCCGAGTTATTGCTGGAATAGTGCTAAAAGTGGCGTAAAACCATACTCACTCACTCATTCCCACAAGAAAATACCCAATGAGATGACGAGCAGGAACAGTCCCATTGACTTAGCAATACTTTGTGTTTAATGCCTACGGGAGGAATGTACTCTGTGGACCTCCAGTTGGTACAGACATGTCGGGCTTACGGGAGGAATGTACTCTGTGGACCTCCAGTTGGTACAGACATGTCGGGCTTACGGGAGGAATGTACTCTGTGGACCCCCAGTTGGTACAGACATGTCGGGCTTACGGGAGGAATGTACTCTGTGGACCTCCAGTTGGCACAGACATGTCGGCGTGATTGTCATATCTATCTTTAAGAAATGTTACATGTATTAAAAAGCAATAAATCATCTAACATTATATGGCTGAATGCACTATAGTGGTGTTAACAGCACACACTGAATGTGTCATGGACGTTTTCCTTTCACTGAATCACCAGACAGAATACACATTATCTCGAACAAAAACCAAGACGAGTATTACATGACGTGCAATTTACATAAGGAGAAGAAGAAGACTGAAGAAGAAAAATATTTTTATTAAAGTGTCTAGCATGTATACATACAAAAAATAAACCATATAAACACATATATCACACTGTTATACAACGTCCGACAAGGACCTATAAGACACCCTGTTACCGTAAAACGGTTAATAATAGTAAAAACACAGTTGTGCTAAAATCTACCAATATCATACATAGGCAGGGAGGTTAACTAGAAAATGAGCAATACAGAAAGAATGTCATTGGTTATAAAGTCTACGCTAAAACATATTTTGTGTCATTGCGGCTACATAGGTTGACAAATCCTCGCACTGCATAAGATATTTCAGTTGTTCGACTTGGGACAAAAATGAAAAATTCTGATTGAAAGATGACGCGCGGTTCCAAATATAAGTTCTTTGGACCAAATAAAAATTACAACCTATCACTAGAACAGGTAATCAACAAGGAGGGCCTGTAACATTACGTAATATGGTAGTGATGCAGAGCGTCAATACTGGTCGCATCTTACATCACACAATATGGTAGTGATGCAGAGCGCCCAAACTGGTCGCATCTTACATCACATATAATATGGTAGTGATGCAGAGCACCCAAACTGGTCGCATCTTACATCACATATAATATGGTAGTGAAGCAGAGCGCCCAAACTGGTCGCATCTTACATCACATAATATGGTAGTGATGCAGAGCGCCCAAACTTGGCGCATCTTACATCACATAATATGGCAGCGATGCAGAACGCCCAAACTGGTCGCATCTTACATCACATAATATGGTAGCGATGCAGAACGTCAAAAGTGGTCGCATCTTTCATCACATAATATGGTAGTGATGCAGAGCGCCCAAACTGGTCGCATCTTACATCACATAATATGGTAGTGATGCAGAACGTCAAAAGTGGTCGCATCTTTCATCACATAATATGCTAGTGATGCAGAGCGCCCAAACTGGTCGCATCTTACATCACATAATATGGTAGTGATGCAGAACGCCCAAACTGGTCGCATCTTACATCACATAATATGGTAGCGATGCAGAACGTCAAAAGTGGTCGCATCTTTCATCACATAATATGGTAGTGATGCAGAGCGTCCAAACTGGTCGCATCTTACATCACATAATATGGCAGCGATGCAGAGCGTCAGAACTGGTCGCATCTTACATCACATAATATGGTAGTGATGCAGAGCGTCAGAACTGGTCGCATCTTACATCACATAATATGGTAGTGATGCAGAGCGCCCAAACTGGTCGCATCTTACATCACATAATATGGTAGTGATGCAGAGCGTCAGAACTGGTCGCATCTTTCATCACATAATATGGTAGTGATGCAGAGCGTCCAAACTGGTCGCATCTTACATCACATAATATGGCAGCGATGCAGAGCGTCAGAACTGGTCGCATCTTACATCACATAATATGGTAGTGATGCAGAACGTCAGAACTGGTCGCATCTTACATCACATAATATGGTAGTGATGCAGAGCGTCCAAACTGGTCGCATCTTACATCACATAATATGGCAGCGATGCAGAGCGTCAGAACTGGTCGCATCTTACATCACATAATATGGTAGTGATGCAGAGCGCCCAAACTGGTCGCATCTTACATCACATAATATGGTAGTGATGCAGAACGTCAAAGTGGTCGCATCTTTCATCACATAATATGCTAGTGATGCAGAGCGCCCAAACTGGTCGCATCTTACATCACATAATATGGTAGTGATGCAGAGCGTCAGAACTGGTCGCATCTTTCATCACATAATATGGTAGTGATGCAGAACGTCAGAACTGGTCGCATCTTACATCACATAATATGGTAGTGATGCAGAGCGTCCAAACTGGTCGCATCTTACATCACATAATATGGCAGCGATGCAGAGCGTCAGAACTGGTCGCATCTTACATCACATAATATGGTAGTGATGCAGAACGTCAGAACTGGTCGCATCTTACATCACATAATATGGTAGTGATGCAGAGCGTCAGAACTGGTCGCATCTTACATCACATAATATGGTAGTGATGCAGAGCGTCCAAACTGGTCGCATCTTACATCACATAATATGGCAGCGATGCAGAGCGTCAGAACTGGTCGCATCTTACATCACATAATATGGTAGTGATGCAGAGCGTCCAAACTGGTCGCATCTTACATCACATAATATGGCAGCGATGCAGAGCGTCAGAACTGGTCGCATCTTACATCACATAATATGCTAGTGATGCAGAGCGCCCAAACTGGTCGTGTCTTACATCACATAATATGGTAGTGATGCAGAGCGCCCAAACTGGTCGCATCTTACATCACATAATATGGTAGTGATGCAGAACGTCAAAAGTGGTCGCATCTTTCATCACATAATATGCTAGTGATGCAGAGCGCCCAAACTGGTCGCATCTTACATCACATAATATGGTAGTGATGCAGAGCGCCCAAACTGGTCGCATCTTACATCACATAATATGGTAGTGATGCAGAACGTCAAAAGTGGTCGCATCTTTCATCACATAATATGCTAGTGATGCAGAGCGCCCAAACTGGTCGCATCTTACATCACATAATATGGTAGTGATGCAGAGCGCCCAAACTGGTCGCATCATTATTCATTAATACACTTGACATGGTTTGGAAACTTTTCAAACGGTTCCACCATTTGAACCACACTGAAAGAAAAACACGATTTATGGATTCACTGTGAAACGTTGTGTTGTTCACAATAAAGAAGTTGACATCCATAAGCCTTGCTTTTCGTATGCATTCAACTTCTAAATGCACTGAAAGGTTCGGTCGACCTGTAAAGAGACCTAAACCAACTGAACCTATTATCCTGGAAACGAACCCAGCATACATTTGAGAGAGGTGTAATTATTTTCCCTTTGAATGCATTATATTTGTTAAAACTACTACACACAGGTTTTGTTTTTATGTTTCCTTATTGTAAACTCCCCAATATGAATGTTAGAATGAAAAGAAGTATTAAATTATACGACTTTGTTCACATGACAACAATGCGTAATATTAATTTTCAAACAGTCAACATACATGTCCAACATATAAAGCTATACTGCACTTTCAAACGACACTCACTGACATTGCAACAAGACACTACTTCCACACACAAGGATTGTTTCTTAAAAGTATACTTTTATTGTGAACTGTAATGACAGATTTCCAGGTAAGAATACATCTGACATGTGTAACAAATACGCTTCATTATTTACTTTACGTTAAAACCCAAAGATACAACGTCACTTGTAACTAAATGTAACGAATTGATAATGTATGTATTTCACATTCAATTGTTAGACAAGCAGTGCTATAACTACAATCAATAGTCCATTCACCAGCTGACTTGTAGCTCCATCAGTAGGAGGTCCTGAAACTGTAACCTCAGAAGGAGGTCCTGAAACTGTAACAGATTAAGTCTTAATATGACATGCACCATCAGTCTCATCTGTATGTACATATGGATGTAAAAAGGCATTTGCATGAAATATATGTTCACACACACACACACACACACATAATACACACGTTACAAGTATACTAGTATACTGATGACACTTTTAAATTTGTATATATATATACATATACACACACACATACACCATATATATATCAGTACTTTAATATGATCTATGATCTATATTTGCATCCATATGGTCCACTTGTCCACATGTATATAAAATAGACATAGATGTGACTTATATACTGACGTTCATAAGAAAGTACACACATGGCGTTATGGGACTATATCCATTAAAACCATAAATATTTCGCTAGCTATGTTGTAATTGGGTACAATATCTGTTGTTTTGGAAACACTTGCACAATGTTTGTGACAAGGCAGAATCAAAACACTTTTTAAAATATTAATGTTGTTTTAAAGAAAACATTTTACCAAAGAATCAGGTGACTGTGTACTTTCTTCTGAACGTCAGTTTATGTAAGTGAAATCGACATGGTTTACATGACATATATTATATTGTTGATTAGCCCAGCACTCAGCAATATGACAGTCTGAACCAGACAACCCAGTGATCATCACCATGGGCATCGATCTACGCAGTTGGGGTGCTTGGGCATGTGTCAACCAAGTCAGCGAGCCTGACTACCAAATGCTATTAGTCGCCTCTTACTACAAGCGTGGGAAGGTGGCGTAGACCAATTCTAACCTTAATCTTCACGGGTGACATCGACAATGTCATACGACAATGGCATGATTTATATGTACATGAAGATGTGAAAAGACATTGATATGAATGCATATACCCATTGTGAAAAATGAAGTTGTTAGTTTTAAAGAGTTTCATGTCTTCATATTCACAGCTCCATCGGTAGAAGGTGCTGAAACTGTCAATATGGACTAAGATCGATATTTACATGCATTAGCGAAACAGCATCAAAAGGATCTTCAAGTACATATATATGAAAAAGACATCGATATCACGTGCATGTATGTGAAAAAGACATTGATGTAACACCCATGTAATATGACATCGATTATTAACAGACCGCCGCCATATAGCTGGAATATTGCTGAGTGCGGCGTATAACTAAACTCACTCACTCATTATACGGAGTACAACATTCAAGGGAACTTAACTTCATATAGTAACTGAGGCGGACGTAAATGTTCTTGCAAGACCATCATTCTTCTCTCACTAATGCTACAGGATGCTTCATAAACATGTTGGAATTCAAACTTAATTCCCTTTAAAATACTTTTGATATTTTGAAAAAAATGTATTTCTGAAAAAAAGCAACAAAATAATATACAAAACAAAACACCAATAACAAGAGAAGACACTTTTGAAGACGAACGTTTTCATACACAAACGAGTAATTGTCGAGGCGGTGGGGTAGCCTAGTGGTTAAAGCGTTGGCTCGTCACGCCGAAGACCCGGGTTCGATTCCCCACATGGGCAGAATGTGTGAAGCCCATTTCTGGTGTCCCTCGCCGTGATATTGCTGGAATATTGCTAAAAGCGGCGTAAAACTAAACTCAGTCAGTCAGTCAGTAATTGTCAATGTTGAAAAGACAAATTTGAAGACACATATATATGTTTTCGTACTTACCCGTAGTTGTCGCAGCAGTTGTGCGTTGATCTCCTACAGTGTACATGATTTTAAAGCCACGCCCTCTTGCGTTACCATCACTGTGGATAGCAATCTCGACCTCCAACCCAGCACTGACGTAGGTGTTCTTGTCCGTGCCACAGAAGCGCCCGAGTTCTTTAGAACCGTCTGAAACTGTGAACAATTGGAGATACAGAGTTCGTTAGGTTTTACACTGCTTTTAGCGATATTGAACGCCAGCAACATCAGAAACATATCTGGGTAACTCAATATCCACAAGGCTACCCCACAACGTAAAAGTATATAAAAATCTTAAAAGGTCAAATACCTACGTAGGAAGATATGACAGGAGTCACCCCTGTGGGAAGAGAATGATACCATATTTGGTTAATTACAAGTTTCCCTCGCGGAAGGAAATACAGTTATGGTATTTTTTAATCAGCGACGACAGATTTACGCGGCCTTGTAGTCTGGATTAATATCCATCCTTTCTCTTCATTCAAGCAAAATATGCCAGGCTTTAAGTGTCACATGGACCATCAGCTGGTGTTGGTTACCAAGTCTCTAAATTTACCACGTACCATCAATGACCTGTACGAAGTCGTTTTGCAGCCTGGTGAACTCTCAATGTCTGCATCCACCACTTTTACTGTTATTCGTGTCCCATACACACCTCGTATTGTCCACGCACAGTCTATATTGCTGCCAATGAAAAGAGTCACAGACCTTAAATATTTGGTGGTGTTTAACTATTTGACTATGTAGCGTTCTCAGTCAGTGGTGTTTTGCTCGTGAACTTTTTGATTGTGTTTCCCAAACGAATACTTATGGCATACTTGGGATTATACAATGGACTCGGTGTTTGTGGAGATTTCTTATGATTATGCTTGGGATTATATAATTAACCCTGTGTTAGTGGAGATTATTTATGATTATGGTGGGGAATTTGTATAATTAATGGACCATAATTTCATAAAAAAAGAGTTACACAATAACTGAAAATGTTTTTATTAATAATATGTATTTCTTCGCGATCTTGCTTGGGGATGGACATGAGAAACTCTCAAAATACGGATGGCCCTATATATAAACTGACACTGATTGAATTGAACTTGAATGCTTCTGTCATGTAACTCGAGAGGTATAGCACACTCAGATTCAGAATGTGAAACATTCAGTAGAACAGCGTGGAGTGTACAGGATATATGTGTAGAGTAGTTGAACACCAACGGTGCCTATTCTGCCTGGACTATCTATTTTACCGATCCATGCTCTGTTTGTTTGTTTTTGTTTCACTCTTTCAAAGCAATATTCCAGCTATATGACGTCAGTCTGTAAATATTCTAGTCTGGACCAGACAATTTAGAGATAGACATCATGAGCTTCAATATAGGCAGTGTGACATGGAGTCTGAACAATAGTCGGAACAACATTCACGTGTTGTTGTGGATATACAATAAATGCATACGTTTAATAACTGATTGTAGTAATACTTACGACGCTATGCCGCGCTCGAATCATGGATCCTTCCTAATCATGTTTCTGTATGTCAGTCTTGCTTGTGGGTTTTTCAACAAATTGGCAAATCTTAGCTCGGCATCACCCAAGTTACGCCCTCCTAATTGATGTAACTGTCGTTCATTACTAAAGCCTTTTCTCCAAGAGTGAGCTGACATGCCTTAATGTAAGACAAATACTGCCGAAATCAGCTTTAAACCAGTCTGACTTACTTGGAGTAGACTCCCGGGTATCCTGGTGTTGTCAGGTACTTCTCACGGCTGGAGGCGGTCACAGTTCCGTTGCAAGCGTTGGGTTCAAGTTCTGCAAAGGATATTGATGTATATTATGTCTCTTCTGTCAGTGAGTCAGGAGTTGGATATGGTTGACTTGGTTTGAACTATTTTAGTCCTTCAGTCCGAGCCATGTTTGCATATTGATCAAGCAAGTGCTCATATAATAGACTATGTATTGAGCGGTAAGACTAAGAATATCTGTTCCAAAAACGAAATATGAAGAATAAAAATACGAAGTAGAAATGTGCAGGTGACCTTGGCATTATTGATGATGAAACGTCAAATTGACGTGAGTGAGTGGGTGAGTGAGTTTAGTTTTACGCCGCACACAGCAATATCCCAGCTATGTGAAGGCAGTCTGTAAATAATCGAATCTGGTCCAGACAACCCTGTGATCAACAGCATGAGCATCGATCTATTCAGCATCGCACTAGCACTTTGTCACAAAACACGCACACACACGCATGCACACATGTACCAACGCATGAACACACATTTCTGGATAACAGGTACTAGAATGGTACATTTAATTACATTTAGACATATTTATGAGGGTCTATGATGGATATGTTTGCCTACGAACAAACAGAAACAAAACAAACATAATCCCAGAGTTAGTTGTGAAGAATATTCACTAAAAAGTTTGACTATGAATTGTCTCCCTTTGTGAAATGTACACGACACCCTTATTCACGATGTATAGCGTCAAATTAAAATAATTAGTGCGGGGCGGTTGAGTAGCCTAGTGGTTAAAGCATCCGCTCGTTACGCCGAAGACCCGGGTTCGAATCCCCACATGGGTACAATGTGTGAAGCCCATTTCTGGTGTCCCCCGCCGTGATGTTGCTGGAATATTGCTAAAAGCGGCGTAAAACCAAACTCAGTCAGTCAGTCAGTCATAATTAGTACACACGAATATATATTGCAGCCATTGTTTACCTGTGAATGAGTTGTACTCCAACTGGAATCCTTTGTTGAAACCTCTGCTGTCAGTGGAGAACTTGAGCGTAATGGAAGGACCAGTACTGTCAATCGGAACGCTTGTCCGGGAACATATAGTCTTCAGTAAAGGGTCATTCACAGTGCTACCTGTTTTAATGGATGATATTGTCATTAATTGCCATGTTTAAATTGTTTACAGGAATTGTTCTCAGCAAAGAAAACCTGATATCTAGATCATATTGTATGTTAAATGATAAATTGATAAAATGTCACAGCACGTTTGAGGGATCTATTTCAGACTTTCCAGTTTAGCACAATGTTTATTGAGAATTCTGTAAACCAGTTTCGTGTCGTTTTGAACATACCGTCATAGAAGGAGAGAGAGTCCTTCGTGCAACCGTTGCTGTACTGTAGTTGTAACTGCACGGTTCCAACTCGGACTAACTGAGTATTGTTGGCTGCCGTGATGGTCCATATGTATACTTCATCACTTGAATTAAAACGATACTTGAAAAATGAATGTATGTGTCGCTACAGACAATATGTACAATTTTTTGTAATCTTTGACAATAACAAATGACCGAATTTATCCATGCTTATCAGGAAGGTTTTAGTGTCGTTTATAACGCTGATATATTGTATTATTTCCGTATCGTCTATTAGGAGAAAAAAGGGAATGTAACGGACCATCGTTTACAAAACATACACACGAGGGTAACTCTTTTTAATCATATATTGTAAGAATAATAAGTTTCGAAGATGAAAATAACATGTATATCACTATGAAACTTTAGACTTGCACGAGAATAGCATGCGAGTAAATACACCATATTATTATACTGATATTTTATATTATTAAAATATACGAATGTGCAAATAGGGTTCGGGTGATCCTAGACAAGTCTGCCTGGTTATGCTCATCATCAGCCCAGGGCTCTTGCTGTTTTTACACATAGTCCAGACATTTAATGGGAATTCTCTACATTGGGTTGTATCATGAATGGACCTCCGAGTGAAGGCCACAGGCATGACAAAGGCTGTTATGGAAACAACGTGCCACTGTGTCGTTCAAGACATGTTGTCTTGTGGATAGTGCATTTACCAGGAGAACGGATAATCGGTTGTTCGATCCCAGGTTACACGTTAAGATGACTGTTCAGTTTGAAGCAGGACACTGGGTCTGAACGGTGTGCAGCGACATGGTAAGCTTTATAAACACGTACATGCAAATCTCCTGATATTCACGATCACGCATGACCTCATGAAAGTGCAATGACCATGAAGGCAGCTGAAAATTCCATTGCACTCTCACTTCTCCTAATCCATAAATATATCACTCAATGTGATGTTGGTATCGAGATTGTCGGATGTTAAAGTCAGTGTTGTCGTACTTAGCATATGCGACTGGGAATCCAGGTGACGTTAAGTTCTTGCGGTTGCTGTCGGCTGTGAGTGTTGTCATTGTAGGTGAGGGCGTTGTTATGACAGCGGTTCCTGAAACGATCAAGAAACTTGCGTAATACACAACCTATGCAAGTAGCAGGAAGCACTGCAATAATGTACACTGATAGTGACTGAGTGAGTTTTACTCCGCTTTTAGCAGTATTCCAGCTATATCACGGCGGGTGACACCAGAAATGGCTTCACACTTTGTACCCATGTTGGAATCGAACCTGGGTCCTCAGCGTAACGAGCGAACGCTTTAAACACTAAGTACCCCACCGTCTCAGGACACTGATAAACAGAGAATATGAAAATTTCGCATTTGTCTAAGGAAGATACGGTGCCAATAACACGGAGAACAACATAATTAGATCCAGCTATATGACGTATTTACCACGTTCATACAAGATATACAGCTGTACGTGCAACTGAGCAGTTTATAAATACCAAAAGCTATAATGCTATTCTCTGTTTCGTTTTTTTTTTAAAAACCCAACAGTTTCATAAAACTTTAACATTAAAAAAAGTAAATTTATTTTCTGACACTTGGTACGACTACATACTACGGAAAACTTAATTTAAGGAACTGGAGTCCGTCAGATTGTCAGAGATGACCGGTGCAACTGAGCATTTCATAACCACCATCCACAGAAACATATAGTGCCGTTCACACTTTCGTTTTGTTTTTGTTTCTTTTAAATCAGAAACATTTTTAAAGTATTATCTGACACTTGGTAGAAAAATTATTTACGGAGATGACCCGGCACCAGCTATAAGACGTATTTACCACGTTCATACAAGATATCCCGCTACAGGTACAAATGGAGCATTGTACAAATATTCATGGAAAACTATAGTACCATTCCCACTTCCGTTTCTACTTATTACCTGGCACTTCGTAGTACTCCATTAGGAAACCTTTATTAACATAACTTGAGTCCGTCTGAAAGGTGACCGTCAGAGATGACCCGGTACTCTGGAGTGTTGGCGTCATCTGGTCGCAGATGTACATCAGCAATAGACTGGAAGGTGTTGGCCCTGTTGATGAAGTCACCATGGATGTATACAGTGTTCGTGTTGGCAACAGAAGGTTCAGGTGGATCACAATAACAACAATAATAACCTTCATCGGTTATTATGACCTTTTGTGTTCGTGCCATCATGACAGTTCAATATGTAAAAAGGTCATTTTAAACGTGGAACAGAATATGAGCTGTAGGAGCATTTCTCTTCATAGAGATAACAACATCTACAAACTAAACACACGAATAATTAGAAATCGTGAAGCATCTGTGAAGATTTGTAATGAAATCCATCAAAATAAATGATTTGAGAATCAACGGTTGTTCTTACCATCAAATACGCCGATAAAATCTTGACTACAAGTTTCATCATATAGTATCATATGGGAGGACACGACCTTAATACGGACACGGTATGCAGCTGATGCAGCAGTAATGGTCCATATATAATATTTGTTACTGAAACAAACGAAAAAACAATAAATATAGAAATGTTTCGTTTTAAAACTTTGAATAAACAGACACAATATAAAGCAGCTCCCACACTTACAAAAAAGCACCCAGTGCAATATGAAGCAAGAATGGGCAGCTACTTGTTTATATGTAATGAAAATAAAATGATTTGAACAAAAATGATCTGGTCATTTTGAAAAACATGCCAAACTTCAGCTTCTCGGTCTAGCAATCTCAGAAAGCCTAACACGCATTTAACAAAAATTAAGACCATGAATTTATAAATTTGATTTGGAATTGCTCAGCAATTGTCGTGAATAGTACTTTTTGAAAATCTGACGAGATTCTGACAGGGGAAATTTCTCCAGCAGTTTCTGAAAAGATGATTTTAACAGAAAAAAGAAACGCATTTAGAGAGAATGAAGAGCATGGGCCAAGCGCATATACAAAATTTCATTTTTATTTGCAATATCACGAAAACGAAACTTGTTTCGATGCCAGCGACACACCACACTTCATTACTGACCAAAGTTGTCCGAGTAACATCACTTAACAGATTTGTCAGTACCTGTGCTGATTCGAATTTGTGAAATTTCAGCACCATCGGTCCATTAGTTTGAACGGAAAATATGTTTACTTAACTTACAGTCGGATTAGCCAAAATGCTATTATTTAGGCGAATTATACATGGTAACTATATTTTTCGTGATTTTCGGATGAAATGACCTGATTTCGGACAAGGGATGCTGCTGATTCAGCAGAAATGGTCCATATATAATATTTGTTACTGGAACCAAAAATAATAAAGAAAAAATAACAGATGCTTGTTTTAAGTTTTTCACTGAACTGACTCATTATAAAAAGAGCTTCCGTACGAAGACTAACATTGATACGTAGTCGTCAGTTTAAATATAAATGAAAGTAAACCCAAAAGTTCCAGAATATTTCTAAATCTGTATGTACACACCTGCATTTATCACAACTATAAAAATAAGGCGAATTCTACATGACCACCGTATTTTACATGACTTGAAGTTACCATAATTGATAAGGAATTAACATTACTTGTAGTACTGGCCAGGGTAGCCGGGAGACGTAAGGTTCTGTGGAGTAGATGATGCTGTAAGTGCCATTGCTGTTGGAGCCTGCGTGGTGAAGTAGGAATCTGTAAAAAAACAGTAACACATTGTAAAATAACATTACATGGTTTTTTTCAAGTTTCGCGCGAGCAGAACTAGTGCGCAATGGAATATTTTGTATTTTTGATCTGTCATGTCTTACTTTTGTTGATGGTAATGTTTTACAAGAAGGAAAAGACAACATTAGCAGACCAACCCTAAAACAATGCTTTCTGGTAATATTATCTAATGAGTCACCACAAACATGTTTTAATAGCGGGATCTCGGAAAAATACAATTTTAAATAAAAAATGTTAAAAAAAAGAATGAACAAGAAGCGCCATACGTTTTGTACACATCCCAAGTCATCGTAAAGATTCATCAGACAATATACATATTTTAAAATCATTGAGTAAATATCTTTCACAAGTTCGCCGTAGAAGGAATGAATAACTGTAAAACAAATCAATACTAAACTTTACTTAGCTTTACTCAGTATGTATTCACTTTTGCCAAATGTATGTATTATGGGCCTTGGGCCTCAATTACCGAATAAACCTGTCTGTCTCTAAATATTTTATCATGTTACCTACCGTCATGGTCTACCCTCCTGTACTTCAGTCGAAACCCAGACCCGGAGCCAACGCCATTGGTTTTGAACACAACTCTCATAATGGGTCCCCGCGTGATTAACGTGCCATTGTGGACTCCACACAGTGGTCCTAACGGTTCATTGGCATTATTCGCTGCAGTCAGGAATAAATATATCAGGTTTATCACTTCTTGTAAAACTTGGTTTAAGTAAGGTATGTTCTGATTAACGTACAAGTAAAGGCCAAAGTAATGCAGATATTAGATATATTAAATACCACTTTGATGATTGTGACATCGCGAGAACGACGATGGTGTTGAAAAAGAGTCATGGTCGGGGATTCGAACTCACGATCACCCGACCCTAGAACTTTATTTCTGAGCCCTTTGACCATTGTACTAGCCCTGTCATACCCCATTTATCCCCCAAATTGTAAACGAATTCAGGATTTAAGAACCTGCAAATAGAACTTAAATATAATTTGATAAAATATGTACTTACTGTCATACACTTGGACAAAATCGTTCGCACAGTCAGTGCTTTCATCAAAGTTGTTATAGATGATGTCGAGGGCAATATGACGAGGGTTAGATGTTGATAAGGTCCACACACAATTCAAGTTACTAGAAAAGAGAGAACAATTTGACGCATATAGGAATTAGACAATAGTTCATAGACTTTATTACACAACTTCCAAAAGAATGTAAAAATTCAAACCGCTTTGCACTCTTTTGAGAAAAGGAGGGGTGCACACTTCATTTTCCCTCTAGTTTCAATGGTCATTTAACAAACTTTCAGCACAAAAAGGGGTGGGGGGTGCGCACCCTGCACGCACACGCACACACACACACACACACACACACACACACACACACACACACACACACACACACACACACACACACACACACACACACTGGATCCGCCTATGTGCTCGGTTGCGTGTAATAGCATTCATATAAAAAAATAATATGTTGGTTGAAGTCATTTGGTCCCTTTTTCATACCCCCTTGATTATTTTACAACACTCAAATTGAACAGACTACAATCATAAATGAAATGTATCCATACGCGTGACGTAATGTACTCGTTCTGTAATTTGAATTGTGAGGTATTATTTTACTAATGAGGAATAAATAAAATACTAAACGATGTCCCCTATAATATTTCGCTCGTTAGATACCAATACCAGTCATGCGTTTCATAAATATGGTATTACACGGGACATAGTTCAGTATACTCTATATGTCCGATGACGTTAAACATATTTCAGAATCTAGAATAATCACATTCAAAATACTATATTTGTCAACTGGCTTACCTGTAGTAGTTATTTGGGTAGCCAGGGGACAGGATGTAACATGGATAGTCATCTCCTGGCCTCACATTCAACTCGCACGTCGTCTCTGGGGAGTAGAAACAGGTTATAGGAAGAGTAAGTGAGCGAGTATGGTTTTATGCCGCTTTTAACAAATTGAATATTCCAGCAATATCATGGCGCGGGACACCAGAAATGGGCTTCACACATTGCACCGGACATGTCATCTTATTCAGACCGTTAACCACTTGATTGTCCGACCCAGACTGGATTATTTAAAGACAGCCGTTATTTCATTTGAATATTGATGAGTGCAGTGTTAAACCACCAACACACAAACAGTTGTGAGCCTTTGGATTTAAGCGACAATACAACATCCTAATGGTTCAAATAATTTTCTTTCCCTTTTTGGCACAGGGCGGTTGAGTAGCCTAGTGGATAAAGCATCCGCTCGTTACGCTGAAGACCCGGGTTCGATTTCCCACATGGATGCAATGTGTGAAGCCCATTTCTGGTGTCCCCCTCCGTGATATTTGCAGGAAGATTGCTAAAAGCGGAATAAAACCATACTCACTCGCTCCGAGGCACACATTATGAAAAGTACATGACTTCGATTATATTTTAAAAAAGGGGAAATATTTTAATACCCCTACACATAAATCTACTTACTGTAAACTACCTTGTAACGTATACGAAAGATGTCAGCTGTGAAAGTCCTCAGGTGTGTTCGTGCACGCACAAGGGCTTTGTTACCTGAACTCTGAAAAAACATGGAGTCGGAGCCGCAGGCATGAGCTAATAGCTCCGATTCTGAAACATTAAAAAACCAAAATTACAATTACATGTCATTATTAGAGTTCTTATACCGCTTTCATGGTAATCACGTTCGCAGAAAACAACGAAGAACGCCAATTTGTCGTCAGAACGTTGATCTGGTTGGTTGGTTGGTTGTTGTTTAACGCCGCACTCTGTATCTAGGTCTATATTTTTCATCCACCTGTATCATATCACAATCAGCCACGGATGCGAACAATGGCATATAAGCTGGGCAACTATTCCCCTTCATATTAAGCTTTAACTCATAAACACTGTTATCGTCAATGCTTCTGACAAACTAGATCATGCAATTTTCTCGAAATGGTCTCGCCAACCTTCGCAATGACATCTTAATCGCCGTGTTAATATAAAAAGATACAATTATCTGTAGTCGTTGCAATAGGTTATAGACAGTCATATATCACTGTATATTCACTAAGTTTATTTGTTTGTTTGTCTTTAAACGCAACACTCAGCAATATTCCAGCTATATGGCGGCGGTCTGTAAATAATCGAGCCTGGACCAGACAATCCAGTGATCAGCAGCATTTCAGCAACAGCATCTATCAACGTAACTGGCATACGATGACATATGTCAACCAAGTCAGCGAGCCTGACCACCCGATCCCGTTAGTCGCCTCTTACGACAAGCATGTGTTACTGAAGATCAATTCTAACCCGGATCTTCACGGGCCCGAACGCTGAGGTTTTCGGGCCAAGGAAAACACGCTTCAGTTTTATATACTGCAGATACGACTTACTTACTTACTAACATGCTAAGTTATCGGAATATATATTACAATGTCATATTGTTTAGATCGATGCTCATGATGTCAGTCATGCATTCTCAGATCCGAAAATATACACAGGCCACATTCATACAGCTGGAATATTGCTAGGTATGGCGTTAAACACAAAGAAACAAACCAACAAACAACACAAAACATTAAATGAAAGAGCAGTCACGAAATATGTCATTTGTTCAGTGTCCGTATTTAGAAATGAAATGCAATTATTAAACATTGCGAATTATTACTGTATTTTGTATTGGCACATCTCATATACACATCTCATTAACGTTGCTTAATAACTTTGAAGTTTCATACACGGACTAACCCTTAACCGCCAACCCGTATAACGCCAACCTGTATAACGCCAACCTGTATAACGCCAACCCGTATAACGCCAACCTGTATAACGCCAACCCGTATAACGCCAACCTGTATAACGCCAACCTGTATAACGCCAACCCGTATAACGCCAACCCGTATAACGCCAACCTGTATAACGCCAACCTGTATAACGCCAACCCGTATAACGCCAACCTGTATAACTATAACGCCAACCCGTATAACGCCAACCCGTATAACGCCAACCTGTAACAGCCAACCAGTATAACGCCAACCCGTATAACGCCAACCCGTATAACGCCAACCTGTATCATATTTATTACTATCACTGAGGTGGTAATAGTTTTATTTATGGGGAACTTACCGGTGGCAACCTGTCCGTTATAGAAGGACAGTCTGTCAGCCCAGCAATCTGGGCTTTCAAGAAGAGAAAAATTCCAACTCGAGGACGATTGTTTGATCACTGTTTTGTGCAGAGATTATCCAGTCGCACATGAGAAAGCTGCAAATACATTATTGTACATATTAAATCAGATACGGACATACATTGATATCCAATATTGTAATTAATTAGCATTACACATACTATCTGGATCATGGTCATGAGACTAATAAAATAGATAGCTGTTTTCTTCACATCTGAATTGTGTTCAAGAACTGCCTTCAGACAGGCGTGAGTGAGTGAGTGAGGTTTCAAGTCGCCTTCCAATTGTTTATCATGACGTGTCAGCTTGAGGTAGATATACTCCCAAAAGCGATGTAAATCTATTATTTGGTGAGAGGGCGGTGGGGTAGCCCAGTGGTTAAAGCATCCGCTCGTCAAGTAGAAGACCCGGGTTCCATTCCCCACATGGGTACAATGTGTGAAGCCGATTTTCTGGTGTCCCCGCCGAGAAATTGCTGGAATATTGCTAAAAGCGGGGTAAATCCATACTCACTCACTCACTTAATTTGGTGATACCAGTAAGCAGGCATGTGTCTAGAAACAGAATAATGGTAAATTGGGATTGGCATTGATGATCACAGTTTGACTTGCCCTCATTTCGCCTACACCTGGCTCGCACAAGGGACGAAATTCTGCACAGCGAGTTGCAGGGTTTCAGACATTCTGTCACATTCAGGTTATCTCGGCATACTTCGTTACCTATGTAATATCTAGCACCTCGGCAATAGACTGAGTTGTTACACCACCTGATTTTCCTGTAAGCTGCACGCCAATGCACCCTCCACCCCAGTTCTAACAGCATGACGGCTGATTGTCAGACTACGAAATTACATTTGATTACAGCCTTTTTATAAGGACCAAGACTTGAGGACCCGGGTTATAATTGGCCTTCAGCAACACATCGATGCTCATGCTGTTGATCACTGGATTGTCTGGACCAGCCTCGATTATTTACAGATCTCAGCTATGTAGCTGGAATATTGCTGAGTGCGACATTAAACAACAAACCAACGAAACAAGACTTAAAACAAGTCGTGTTGTGTAAATCGATATGTCAAAATAGATTTAATCAATGTCAGATGTAGTCTATGGGATGGAGGCTATTGAATAGTGTAAAGCTGTGGGTTGACTGAAGATTCGCATGTTAACATAAGGTCACAGGCCCTGCATGGGTAGGTAACTATGGAAAGAAGCGCTTTGAGCATGCATGAGGGATGGACTATAGCACTATATAAATACCCATATAATAAAAATAAATAAATAATAATAATAACCTACTTGATTTGGCTCGCCGACGGGGATTGGATGTTTTGTGTTGACGATGTGGCTGTGAAGGAGCCTCCACAATCAGTCACAACTGAAACAAAACATCAACTTTGGTCGGTAATAAGCCTCAATATATACTACACATCAAAAGGTTAGACTAAACTGGATGACTGAACTAAAATAAATAGTGTAAATGTAGCCACTTACTTCAATCAACTGTTCTAAACTAGATTTTGCTAAATATTCCATACCGTTTCAAGGTACTGTTTACACATGAACTGATGTATTGTAAAACAAATTCGTAACGTTGAAAAGATTATTGTCATGAGTTCAATAAAAGATGAAACTCAGTGAAAATTCTTAACAAAACTTAACACCAAAACGCAGCTGTTCACATGCATGATATTTGCACATACTTTTCAGCAGTTTGATGCATGATCCTCATGCAATTCATCTGCATAAGGTTTGCAGTTGGTTCCTCCAAGTTTGGGGAGAAATTCATCTTCGATGTAACCATATATATATATATATAACATATAGTGAATGCTTTAAGTGAGTCTAAACTTTTGATGGGTAGTATAATATTGCCCGAAATACAGCAGCAGAAGTAACGTGAACAGAAAGTAATGGCAACAAAAGTAAAATAATGCCATCAAGATAGTATACTTGTTTAACTCTTAATGGTTAAAAGGTTGTTGAAATGTAAATGATGAACAAAACGAGTTGTGTATCTTACTTTTTGCACTGTAATATCTGATTTTAAATCCCTTCCTGTTGATGAGGTTATTTGTCTTGAATTCTATATACAGAGATGTTCCATTGCTGATAAACTGTTCATTTCCGGTTCCGCAGAATGTTGTGAGCACGTCACTGGACTGACTGTTTCCTAAAATGTAACGAAACAATTACAATGTTTTCCCACAATAAATATAATCATATAGTTTGTACTTTAGACCAAAGGATACCATGAGGACATGGAACCTTGTAAGTGCACATTTTAATCAACAAAATTGGTTGGCAAATAATCTCTTATGGGGAAGATACACATAACATGTCAATGTATCCTAGTTATCGATCAGATCGATGCTCATGATGTCAGACATTGGATCGTCTGCCCTAGACACGATCAAGACCAGCGTCATATAACTGGAATATTACTGAGAATGATGTTGAAAACAGACTGACGCTTGGGCAACGTCAACAGTGTGCTAGCCATAGTGTGTTTCAAGCCATAGTGTTTCAAGCCATAGTGTGTTTCAAGCCATAGTGTGTTTCAAGTTAATTGCTTGTTATGTCATAAAGTACTTTCAAACGTTTCTGAATTCCATCCGTCCGACGATTGTATATCACTTCTAAACACACCAAAGCAGTGTTTTCACAATGATATGTGATTTATTTTGACAGAACAAATTCCATTTTAAAAATTTAAAGTGGAGTGTTTGTGTTAAGGGGATGTTACTGTAAATTAAGCATTCCTGAGCTTCAGTGTGGCAGAGTATTTGTATCTTAAAATTATTAATCTTACCGTTATAAATCGTCAGACTGTCAGCATTACAGTTAGATGACCCCACTTCTATGTCAGCATCCATGATGGACACCACGACCTGCTCTCCAGACCTGGATGTCTCTATTCTCCACCAGCAGTTGACATTACTGAAACAGAGGAAGACTACGATGTAGCCTGTTACTCCCAAATACGCAATAAACGTGTGTGTGAGTGTGTGCGTGCGTGTGTGTGTGTGTGTGTGTGTGTGTGAGAGAGAGAGAGAGAGAGAGAGAGAGAGAGAGAGAGAGAGAGAGAGAGAGAGAGAGAGAGAGAGAGAGAGAGAGGGGGGAGAGAATGTTTGTGAGTGTTAGTGTATGTATGAGTCACTGTGAGAGCGTATGTGAGAGTGGGCTCGAGTGGGTGTATGGGTGCCTGTGTGAGTGAGTGAGTGAGTGGGTGGGTGAGTGAGTGCCTGTGTGTCGCATGGTAATTTGTACGGGACATATGTCAGACATCTGGCAAAGCTGGGGAACATTGTTCGCGGAGAGTAGGTTCTTGGGTGGATGTGTTCGACAGTTTGAGTCCTGAACGCTTCCAGGGAGTTTACCACTGACACATATGTTACATGTGTTGTCCTTCAGGCAGGTGTTCGCAAGAGGAAAGCGTATCCTGTCCCTACTGTGACATCTATCACAAACACAAGTAAAGGCAAGTCAATTCGTAAGTGTCTTCCTCTGGTGTCTTATATACTTTAACGTTGCTGCACAATGTCCAAGTCGGAATCTCTGTTTACTGTTTTTCCAGTTCAGTATGTTTCTACCATATATTGTTTTCGCAGTGTCTACAATGGGGAAATATATGTGTTTCTCAATTTGTCCCCGATATGTTGGCCTTATGTGAAAAACAGGCGTGTAGATTGTGCCCATTAATGTTGTCGGTGACGTAAAGCATGGAGCCCTTTAAGAGAACATGTACTCAATGGACAGTATCTGTCATGTCATGCCAAGTGGCTGAAAATAGATATGATTCATTTACAGTTATGAATATGTATCAGGTATTGGCACATATACATGTGTCACGTAGCTATGCATCCCTGATCGTGATTCATTTACAGTTATTGATATATATCAGGTATCGGTACATATACATGTGTCACGTGGCTATGCATCCTGATCGGGATTCATTTGCAGTTATTAATATATATCAGGTATCGGCACATATACATGTGTCACGTGGCTATGCATCCCTGATCGTGATTCATTTACAGTTATTGATATATAGCAGGTATCGGCACATATACATGTGTCACGTGACTATGCATCCCTGATCGTGATTCATTTACAGTTATGAATATGTATCAGGTATCGGCACATATACATGTGTCACGTGGCTATGCATCCCTGATCGGGCGTTGGTGGAAACTGCGAGATGTTGATGATGGATCATTTGTATATTACCTTCCATAACTAGTTGGGTATCCTTCAGAATCAAACGTCTTCTCATACATTTCTGCCTGGAGAACCTCATTGCAAGCCCCTGGTAAAGAAAACACACTTTAGTCAACACAATCACTGATCAGGGCCTAGATTTTCGAAGCTCTCTTAGCGCTAAGATAGTCGTAAGTGCCATATATCAACATTAACTTATGACTATCTTAGCGCTAAGAGAGCTTCGAAAAACTAGTGACCTGACCGACAAGATCTTCATAAAGGACGTGACATATACCTTTGTGAACCACAGACCTATATTGTCAGCTCTATTTATAAACCACATAGAATATTTTCTCTGTTATTTGTTGAATAGAAACGACAAAACCCACTTTCTAAAGAAATCTATGCTGAAAGCAAAGTCGATTGTACGGTATTGACTACATCGCGAGCGGCATTACAACTGTATTACGCGTCTGCAAACAATCGAGTCTGGACCAGAAAATCCATGGAATTCATTTAAAAGGAAAACACGTCATGGATGAACATACGTTACCTATCTTGGAAATAATATTCACTGTTTATGTGTCTGTCTTACAGTTCCTTCACTACATGTATATTATTTTCAGTTCCACCCAGTCCTATATACATACAGTGCAATACAAAGGCCCCAAATGAAGCAAATCTACATTTTCCCTAGCTTCTGAACCTCCCACGAAACCGGGGATCCTTTTCAGTTTAAACGGAGTTCCCAAAAATATATTTTGTGTGTATATGGGGTTCTGTCTTAACATCAAAATTGTATATGTTCACAGATTGAGCGTAAATCTTGTGAAACCCCGAACAATAAAACAGACGCAATTGTTCAAAGTTCTTTCACTGAATACTGTTCACAAATATCACAATGTGTATTTTGGGAATACAGAGTTCCTTTGAAACTCACAAGTTAGGTCACTGTAGGTAAGATATGTCGAAGTAGGCCTAGGACTAAGCTGATACCCCAAAATCTATACAGTCAGGTGGTGAGCATTGTTATGCCGATAGAGAACTGGAAAGGACGGTTACTTAAAATAGGAGTGGTGTGGGTTACAGGGAATTAAGTGAGGGTCCTCAAAACATGATACGCATATTCGGGGTAAGTGGGGTGGGGGTGGGGGAGTGTGATTGTGCGAAGAAATGAACATCTCATAATAACACATGAGTTTTTTTGTT